TTTTATTGCCTATTAAGTTGATGAAATTCCCTTCTCTTACAACTTTGTTAAGTGTTTGTGTCACAAAAGAGTACTGGATTTTGTCAAATGTTTTTTTCTTCATAAATTGAGTTGATCATGTGTTTTTTTCCCCTTGATTTGATAACATGGTATTATTTCATTGCTTGACTTTTATATATTGAACCATCTTTGAAGTCCTGGGGTACATCCCATTTGGTCATGGTGTATAATTGTTTTAGTATACAGCTGGATTTAGTTTAGTAGTGCTTTGTTGAGAACTTTTGTATCTCTACATAAGGGATATTAGTCTCTGGTTTTCTTACGATGTCTTTGTCTGGCTTTGATAGGTAACACTGTACTGGCTATAGAGAATGAATTAGGAAGTGTTTGTTTCTTTATTTTATTGGGAGAACTTGAGAAGGATTGATATTAATTCTTCCGTAAATGTTGATAAAATTTGCCTGTGAATACCATCTGTTCCTGGATTTTTCTCTCTTGAGAGGATTTTTATTTCTGATTTAATCTTTTTACTAATTATAAGTCAATTTATGTGTTCTATTTCTTCCTGAGGCAGTTTTTATAGTGTATATGCTTTTAGGAAGTTGTTCATTTGATCTAGATTACCTAATTTATTGGTATATATTTGTACATAATAGTCTCCTGTCATAATTTTTATTTATATAAGACTGGTACTATTGTTCCTACTTTCATTCCTGATTTTAGTAATTTGAGTCTTCTCTTTTTTCTTGGCCAGTATTGCTAAAAGATTATCAATTTAGATGACCTTTAAGTTAAGTTTTTGCTTTATTAATTCTCTGTAGTTTTCCTATTCTGTTTTTGTTCATTTTCATTTTGACTCATAGCCTTTTATCTTCCTATTTGCTTGGATTTAATTTGTTCTTTCAATAGTTCCACAGGGAGAAGTTAAAGTGATTACTTTTAGATCTTTCTTTTTTTAATGTAGGTTTTTATGGGTATAAATTATTCTCTGAGCACTGCTTTGCTGCATCCCTTAAGTTTGGGTATGCTGGGTATACTTTGTTTGTTTGTTTTAGATTGGAAAATATATGTATTTAGAAAGCAAAAGGGGGGGGAACGGAGGGAGGGAGGGAAGAAGAGAGAAGAGATTCACCTCCTCAAGGGAGGGAAGGGGGCAAAAGCCAAGAAACATGCCGACCATAGCTCAAAGAACCACTTGGACACGCCAGAGTTTAACAAAGCAATGGCCATTGTTTTCATTTTTATTAGTCTCAAGGCATTTTCTAATTTCCAGTGTAATTTCTTTGATCCATTGATTGTTTAAGATTATATTGTTTAAGTCTAGATATTTGTGAATTTTGTAAATTTTCTTTTGTTATTTTAAATTTTCTTATACTTTGGTCAGAAGGTATACTTTGCATTATTTTGGTTTTAAAAATTTTATTGAGAATTGTTTTGTGGTCCAACATAAGATCTGTCGTGAAGACTGTTCCATGTTCATTTAAAGAAAAATGTGTATTTTGCTGTTGTTTGGTGGTGCATACACATCCAGTTAGGTTCCGGGTAGGTTATAATACACTATGTGAAAGGGTACAGAAAATCTCTAGGTTGAACCCAAAATATGCAAGAAGGTAGCTTTGGGCTAAATTTAATTTAACAGTAGTATGATGATTGGGAATGGCGGGAATCGAACTTATTGTGTAGACAGTATATATGTTTACATAAAAAAACTCAAGCATCTACACTTAAATTGTTAGAAATAATAGGGGAGATTTAGCACAGTTGCTGGTAGAAGATTAACATAAAAAATCGGTTGTATATGTGAATGGAGCAAATATGTACAATTTGTCCTTGAACAGTATGGAGATTAGGGAGTCAACCCCTTGCATAATCTCCTAAAACTTAACTATTAATAGCCTACTGTTGACTGGAAGTCTTACTGATATATTAACAATATTTAACATATTTTGTATGCTGCATGTATTATGTACTGAATTCTTACAATAAAGTAAGCTAGAGAAGAAAACATGGTTAAGAAACTCATAAGGGAAATGCATTTGCAATATTGTGATATTCAGTATTACTGGTGGAGATGATTAATTTCACATGGTGTTTTAAGCAGATACTGGCAACACTTGGGGTCATAGCAACAGGCAGTGACTTCAAAATTATTACAGTAATACAGTATGTTCTCCAGTTAGTTTTATGCAATTATGATTTAATACTGCATCTTTACATTTTTTTACTTTTCTTTAGACTGAAAATGGCACTACGTATAGTCTGTAAGTGTGTAAGTTTTGATAAATTTTAACTTAATAATTTGTACATATTTTATGGTAGTCAATGATAGACTAATGTTTGCATATATTTTAGGCATCTATGAATAAGTTTTTAATTACTTTCTGGCTTCACAGTTTGTATGTTTTTAAAAAATTGTCACAAATCTCCAAAAAATTTTTCGGTATATTGAACAAAATTTGTGTGTAGGTGGGCTCATGCAATTCAAACCCATATTACTCAAGGGTCAACTTTAATGAAAAGGAAGACATTATTTATATTAGTATTTGAGACCAATAGGAATCTAGCATTAGATCTACCCCAAATATGCAAGATCTGTATAAGATGAACTTTAAAACTGTTTAGAACATTAAGGAAGACCTAAATGGCTAAAGGGATAGACTGTATTTGTAAAAATTAATTATCTTCAGACTTACATATAGATTCAGTTTATTTCCAATCAGAATTCCAAAGATATTTTTCAAGGACTTTGGTATAGTGAGTTTTAAATTTGTGTTAGAGACCAAAGGACCAAGAGTAGCCATGACACTTCTGAAGAAGAGAAATAGTAATGGTAGACTTGTCCTACCAAATAGAAGGACTAATGACTCAATTAATATAATGTGGTATGGTTTAAGAATAGATAAGTTGACCAATAGAATAGAATAGACAACCTAGAAACAGTTCAACTCATGAATGGAATTTAGATTTAACAAAGTTAAATGTCAGTTTAGAAGTTGTATGTCAGTTTAGAAGAAAAAAGAAGGATTATTTAATAATTGGATCTGAACAAAGTAGTTACGTGTTTTTACATGGAAATAGGTAAAATTGGGTGCCTAACTTTTCATGCTAATAAAAATAATTCTGCATGGATTAAAGACTTAAAATTTATCAATAGCAAAACTTCAGATGTTTTAGGGAGAAGATATAGGGAAATGTCTTTTGGATTTTTAACTAGGAAAAGATTGCTTAAACAAGATACAGAATGACGTTTTTAATAAAGGAAAAGTTGATAAATTTGGCTACTTTAAAGTTTAGAACTTGGACCCCTAGCTTCATTATACACAAAAATCAACTGAAAATGAATTAGTCTTAAACATCAGATTTGAAACTAAAACTCCTACAAGAAAACATAGGGGAAAAGATTCTTAATTTCTTGGATATGATACCAAAAGTAAAGACAACAAAGCAAAGATAGACAAATAGAGTTATGTCAAACTAATAAGCTGCTGCACAGCAAGGGAAACAATCAACTAACTGAAAAAGCAACTTAGGAAATAGAAGAAAATATTTGAAAACCACACGTCAATGAGTTAATATCCAAAAACACATAGGGAACTTCACTCAGTAGCAAAAAAATAAAGCCAATTTTAAAATGGACAAAGAACATGAAGAAACATTTCTCAGAAGACGGCATACTAATGACCAACAGGTATATTTAAAAAAAAAAATTCAGCATCACCATTATCAGGGTACAATATCAAAACTACAATGAGAGATCACCTCACTATCAGGATCACCATTATTAAAACAAATCCAAACTATTAAAACTATCACCTCACTATCCAAACTATTAAAACTATCCAAACTATTAAAACTATCACCTCACTATCAGGATCACCATTATTAAAACAAATCCAAGAATAATAAGTGCTGACAAGGATGTGAAAAGATTGGAAAAGATTGGAATCCATATGCACTGTTTGTAGAAATATAAAATGGTACATCTGCTAAAGAAAACAGTATGAAAGTTCTTCAAGAAATTAAAAATAAAAACATTAATCACAGTAGTACAAGGGAGGGATTGACAGTTGTGGGACACTGTGGGGTGGGGTAAAACATAACAACACAAAGGATACCTGGTCCTAAACCATGGGAAGTGAGGACCAGTTGGAGGCCCAAACTTCACCTGCACATAAATTACTTATATACCTAATCCTGATTTGTACTCCACAACTTGATAATAAAATAAAATAAAAAAATTAATTAAAAATAGACTACCATATGATCCATCAGTTTCACTTCTGAGTATTTGAAAGAATTGAAATTGAGTTCTCAAAGTGATAGTTACAGTCCCATATTTATTACAGCATTATTCACAGTAGCCAAGAGGTAGAAACTAAATGTCTATTGATGGATGAGTGGATAAAGAAAATGGTATATACATACAGTGGTATATTACTCAGCCACAAAAATGTAGGAAGTTCTATCATATGCTACAACATGAGTGAACCTTGAGCACATTATGCTCAATGAAATAAACCAGTTAGGAAAGGACATATACTATGATACTCTTTATGTGATGTATGTAGACTTGTTAAACTAAGCATTTTAGCAGAAACTAAAATGGTGACTGCCAGGTGCTGGGTAGAAAGGGAAATGAGTTGCTCCTTAATAGGTGTGGAGTTTCAATTATGCAAAATGAAAATATTTTAGTGATTTTTTATGCAACAATGTGCATGTAGTTAACAATACTAAGAATTTGTTTAGGTAGATTTCATGTTATGTGTATGTTACCAAAAAAAAAAAATTAAGAACCTTGATTCATCATAAGATACTTTAAAGAAAGTAGAAAGAAAAATTATAGACTGTGAGAAGATAAAATTTATGTAACTTGCAATAATTTATGTTAAGAATAAAGGGAAGAGTGTTCAGTTCTGGAATGGTGATGTAGAATCAAGCTGGCTTCACCTCCTCACAGAAACCAAAAAACAAATATACGGTGCTGAGATGACTAACAACAATATCCCAGAACTCAAATATAAGGATGAGGCAGTTTCCAGGGTCACAGAGATTGAAGAAGCTCAAAGCAGACGGTAAGAGAATCAGACTTTCATATCTATGATGCCTCTCTCCCCATTTGTCTAGCATCTAGCGCATGGAATATTTCCCCTCAACTCACGGTTCTTACACTGAAAAATTATGCGATTCAGGTAGACAACTGGCTTCTCCATCATCTTGGGTTCCCTTGCAGGAGACCTGTTCCGCCCATAACCCACAAGAATCACTGGGAGCATCTGAAGGGAGAAATATTCCTGGGTACAGGCAGAAACAAAGATGGGGAGGTGGAACTTCCATCCCTACCTAGCCCTGAAAACTGTGCCTTGTAACTTGGTCAAAGGAGACACCAAATCAGAGTGCCCGTTCAGCAGCACCATGCTGTAGGAGGCATATTCCACAGGTCTCCTGGCACAAACCCACAAGCCAGCATTCTCACACTTCTGTAATACTTCCTTTGGGACCTTTTTATTCTGGACAGGCAGAGTGCTCAGATACTTTACTAGCGCCTAGTGGGAAGAAAAAAAAATCAACAAGTAAACTGTGAAGAGTCAACATGCATGCCCAATAAACACTAAAAGAAACCAGACCAAGAAGATGGGAATAAATAACTAATTCTTCAGTGCAAAGACATAGACATACATTCACAAGAAACAACAACAAACAGGGAACTGTGACCTCGTCAAAGGACAAAGCAAAATCCAGTGACTGACTCTAATGAAATGGCAATATGTGAGCTCTTAGAATATTAATTCAAAATAACAGTTTTTTTTGCAACCCAACGATCTCCAAGACAAAACAAAAAAGCAGCTTAGAAATTTATCAGACACATTTAACAAAGAGATTGAAATAATAAAATCAAACTGAAATCTTGTAACCAAGCAATACATTTGCTAAACTAAAACATTCACTAGAGGCTCTCAACAGCAGAGTGGATCAAAGAGAGGAAAGAGTCATTGAGCTCAAATACAGACTATTTGTAAATATACAATTGGGAGAAAAAAAATGAAAAGGAATGAAAATCTCCTAGAATATATAGAAAATTACCTCAAAAGACCAAATCTGAGAATTATTGATGTTTTATTTGAGAGTTTAGAAAGAGCAGGGAGTAGAAAGCTATTTTAAAAACTAATAACAGAAAACTTTTCAAAACTTGAGAAAGATATAATATTCAGGTACTGGAACATCAGAGAACACCAAACAGATTTTACCCAAATAAGGTTCCCCCAAGGCATATAATAATCAAACTCTAGACGGTTAAGGACAAAGAGAAGATCCTAAAAGCAGCAAAGGAAAAGAAACAACATGTAAAGGAGCTGCAATTTTTCTGGCAACAAACTGACTTCTTTATGGAAACTTCATAGGCCAGGAGGGAATTGGATGACATTTTTGAAGGACTGCAAGAAGAAAAAGAAATCAAAAACAAAAAACAAACAATAAAAACTCTTCTAAGAACTCTATATTTAGACAAAAGCTGAATGAATTTGCCACCACCAGACCTATCTTATAATAAATGCTAAAGGGAGTTCTTTAGCTTGAAGGGGGAAAAAAAAAAACTAACATGCAAAAGGATAAAATTTGAAAATATAAGACCCACTGGTAAAAATAAGTTCACAGGTAGGCCCAGAATAATACTGTATTTGTGGTGAGCAATCCACTCATAACTATAGTATGAAGTCCGAAAGACAAATCTGTCACAAACAATAATAGCTACAGCAACCTGTTAATAGATAAGGAATGTAAAAATACGTAAATTGAGACAGCAAAAAGTCAAAATATGGAGTGATGTAGTTAAAGTGTAGAATATTTTGTTATTTGCTTTTTAGTTTTTAGTTTGTGGTCTAAGATAAGTTATCATCTCAGTCAAATAAATTGTTATATCTATAAGATGCTTTTGTAAGTCTCATGCTAACTACCATACAAAAACTTATAATAGATTCAAGAAAAATAAACAGCAATTAATTAAAATATGCTACCAAAGAAAAGTACTTAACTACAAAAGAAGACAGTAAGAAAGGAAGAGAGGAGTTACAAACCAGCTATTAAACAAGCAACAAAAAGACAGTAGTAAACCTTGTCAATAAAAGTACAGAATGCAAATGGACACAATTCTTATACCTAATCCTGAATTGTACCCCACATCTTTAAAATAAAATAAATTTTAAAAAATACAGACTGATTAAATGGATAAAGAAACAAGACCCAACTGTATGATGTCTACAAGAAACCCACTTCACCTATAGAGTCACAAATAGACAGAAAGTGAAGGGATGGAAAAAGGTATTTCATGCAGGTGGAAACCAAAAAGGATTAGGAGTAGCTGTACTTATAGCAGGTAAAATAGACTACATGTCAAAGACTGTAAAAAGAGAGAAAGTCACTATAAAATGATTAAGGGGTCAGTTCAGTAAGAGGGTATGACAGTTATAAATATCTGTGCACCCAACACTGGAGCATCCAGGTTTATGAAACAAATATTAACAGATCTAAAGGGAACAGTTTGATAGAAGAAATAAGACTTAGTGTTTGATAGATCAGTAGGGTGACTATAGTTTGCAATAATCTATTATATATTCCAGAATAACTAGAAGAGAATAATTCAGATGTTTCTAGCATAAAGAAATGACAAATATTTAAGCTCATGGATATTAATTACGCCGATTTGACTTTACAAATTATATGAATGTATTAAATTATCACATGTACCTCAAAAAACGCGTACATCTATTATGTGGCAATACATTTTTTTTAAAGACCTAAAAGGAGAGATAGACAACAATACAAGAATAGTAGGAGTCTTTAACTAACTCACTTTCAGTAATGAGCAGATCATCCAGATAGAAAATCAACACAGAAACATTGAAGCTTAACTATACACTATACCAAATAGTGACATTTACAGAACAGTTCACCTGACTACTGCAGAATATCCATTCTTTTCATTAGCACGGGAGCATTTTTCAGAATAGACTGCAAAGCAAGTCTCAATAGATTAAAAAATGTAAAAGTTATATCAAGTATTTTTTCTGACCACAATGGAATAAAACCAGAAATTAATAACAAGAGGAACCTTGGAAGCTACACAAACAAATGCTTGGAAATCAAACAACATGCTCCTAAATGACTAATGGGTCAATGAAGAAATTAAGAAATAAATTTAAAAATTTATTGAAACAAATAAAATAGAAATACAACATACCAAAACCCATAGGGTACAGCAAAAACAGTACTAAGAGGAAAGTTTATAATAGTAAACACCCATATCAATAAAGTAGAAGCATTTCAAATAAATGACCTAATAACATATCTCAAGAAAACAGAAAAGCAAGAGCAAACCAAACCCAAAATTACTTGAAGGAAAGAAGCAATAAAGATCAAATTAGAGATAAATTGAGACAAAAAAAAATTCAAAATGAAAAATTGAATTTCAGAAAAGATAAACAAAACCAACATAACTTTAAACTAAGAAAAAAAGAGAGAAAACCCAAATAAATAAAACCAGAAATGAAAAATGATGTGTAACTTAGACCACAGAAATAAAAAGAATCATTAGAGACTACTAGGAACAACTGTATGAGGGGAGACCTCCCAAAAATGGAATTATCTTTTGGAGGGCGGGCCTCTTGTGTTACACTCAGAATTTGTTCCTTTGGATGAGATAGTCAACCAAATTTTTTTTTTTTTTTTTTTTTTTTTGAGTGGGAGCCTCCCTCCATTGCCCAGACTGATGCACAGTGGTACACTCCTGGCCACCCAGCGTGGACCTGCTGGGCTCCTGCTATCCTTCCACCTCAGCCTTCCAAGTAGCTAGAACTGCAGGCACGAGCTACCACGCCCAGCTAAATTTTGATTTATTGTGGAGATGAGGTCTTGCCAAGTTGCCTGGGCTGTTCCCGAACCCGTGGGCTCAGGCAGTTCGCTCACCTTGGCCTCCCAAACTGCTGGAATTATGGGCTTGGGCCACCGCACCCGGCCTCAACCAAAGTTTTTATCTGGAAGTTTTGAGAAGGTTACATCATTATTTGCAGAAGAAACATCCCAAGTTGGGGCAAACAGGTGACTGATTCTTTCACCATAACAACACACCTTACTACACTGTGCTGAGTATTCAGCAGTTTTTGACCAAAAATAGCATGAACCTCATGCCGATCTTCCCTGTTCATCCAGTATCACCCTGAGTGACTATTTTTGTTTGTTTTTCTGGATGAAAAAAGTCCTCAAAGGGAAACATTTTGCCAATATGGAAGAGGCAAAACAAAGAATGCCGGAAGCACTAAAAGGCATCAAAATTGCAAGTTGAGAAACTGTTTTGAGCAGTGAAAAAGGCATCTCAGTAGGTGTATTGCATCAAACAGAGTACTTTGAACGTGACTGAAGTTTAAACACGTAAGAATAAATACACACTTTTTAAATAAATTTCCAGATTTTTTTTGTTCCCCTATACGTTAACAAATTGGAAAATCTAGAAGGAAATTCCTGACAAATACAACCTACTGAGATTGAACCATGAAGAATGAGAAAACTTCAACAAACCCATACCAATTAGTGCCTCTAAGCCATAATAAAAAGAACTATAATAGAAAAGCCTAGGACTTGATAACTTCTCTGTTGAATTCCACCAAAAGCTAAGAAAAATGAATGCCATTTGTACTCCAACTCTTCAAAAAAATTGAGGAGGGAATACTTCCAACCTTCATTTACAAGGCTAGCATTATCCCGATACTAAAGCCAAACAAGGACACAACAAAGAAAACAATGTTATGGATGAACATAGATGCAAAAAAATCCCCAACAAAATACTAGCAAGCCAAATTCAACAACATATTAAAAAGATAATTTACTATGATCAAGTAGGATTCATCCCAGGAATGCAAGGTTGCTTTAACATATGCAAATCAATAAATGTGACAGGTCACATTAACAGAGCCAAGAACAAAAACCATATGGGCATTTTAATAGATGCTGAAAAAACATTTGATAATATTCAACATCCTGTTATGATAAAAGCATTTAATCGTGTATAGAAGGGACATACTTCTAAAAAAGACTGTATTTGACAAGCCTGTAGCTAACATCATACTGAATGGGGAAAAATTGAAAGTCTTTTCTCTGATGTCTGGAACAAGATACGGATGCCTACTTTTATCACTTTTATTCAACAAAGTACTAGAGGTTCTGACCAGGGCAGTTTGACAAGAGAAAGAGGGCATCCTAATGGGAAAGGAAGAATTCAAAGTAGCTTTGTTCGCAGACATCATGATCTTTTTTTTTTTTTTTTTTTGAGTTGGGAGTCTCACTCTGTCGCCCAGACTTCAATTTTTCCCCACCGCAGCCTCGACCTGCTGGGCTCCGGAGATCCTTCCGCCTCAGCCTTCCAAGTAGCTGGAACTACAGGCGCTCGCTACCACGCCCGGCTAATAATTTTGATTTATTGTAGAGATGAGGTCTCGTTAAGTTGCCCAGGCGGTTCTCGAACCCACGGGCTTAGGCAATCCACTCACCTCAGCCTCCCAAAGCGCTCGGATTCCAGGCTGAGCCACCGAGTCCTGTGACATCATGATCTTATACTTAGAAAATTCTAAAGACTCCACCAAAAAACTTTTAGAACTGGTAACAGAGTCGGTACAGTTGGAACAAAAATCGGGGATACCCTGGAAGCCAAAAAATGATGGCGGATTAGAGGTTTCCAAGCATGCCTCACCCGCTGAAACTGCAAAATAGTGTGGAAAACCAGCATAGCAAACACCAATCCAAGAAGAAAAATGGATATTCATCGGAAGGACAAAGGACACCCTAGATTTCAGGGAGGAAAAGACAGGGCGAAAAGCCCCTGCAATGGCGCTCCACAGAAAAAGTGTGATCCCCAGACCACGGCAGGGGACTGAAAACTCCCCTCTGAGACATCTCTTCCAATCAGGGATCTGTGTAACTCAGATCGTGGGAGACCACCCCATTTCTCCTGGACTCTAGAGCTGTTTTCAGGGGAAGACTGAGACTTTGGTGAGAGGGGAGTGTACCCAGTAAAATCCTTGGACTCTCAAATCCTAGTCGCTAGGAAGACACCATTTTTGTTTGTTTGTTTGTTTTATTTTGTTTTGTTTGCTTCAGGGCCCATTACCGCACCAACAGCGGCCTCTGCAGGCGCTGGGGTTTCCGCCCAGAGACAAGACTGTTAGCTCTGAAGTAGGGTAGGGACTTCCCATACCCAGTTCAAAGTGAGAGTGAGAAGTTTGCCCCAGGGTTTTAGACCTGACCAAGGCTTGTTCTAGCCTTGGTTGGGAGCAGCAGGAGACCCTCAAAAGTCGCGTTTCCTTTCTGAAGAAACAGGCTGCTAAGGTCAGATCTTTGACCTGGGATATCTCTAGTTGCCCGACCCCTCCAGGCAGTAGTGGGAAGGGGACCCAACAATACCAAAGAAAACCTAGAATATCAGCCTAAGCGGCAGGAGCCTAGCAATGGGCCCTAGCTCCCAGCCCTATACCCTGCATCCTGAGCTGATGGAAATTTATGCCAGCTGCGGATTCTCATGAACAGTGAGTCCTACAGCCTGTGTCAGTTTTGCAAGCTGGAATTCTTCAGCTAGCATCACTTAAGAATCCTAGTCTCCTTCACAGCTAGGGTGGCGTGTCTCAGTAATACTGAGGAAAAAGAGGGCTTCTCACTCCTGCACAACTGGGAAAGCAGTCTAACCAACAAGAGACCAACAGGAGGGATCTCTCTCTGCATCAGTAAGGTAACTATAGTTAACAATAATTTGTTATGCCTCTCAAAATATCTAGAAGAAAAGAATTCTAATGTTCTTAGCATAAAGAAAATATAAATATTTAAGAAGATAGATATCCCAGTTACTCTGATTTGATATTTACATTAAATGAAAGTATCATTATCACATATACCTTAAAAATATGTACATTTCTCATGTTTCGGTAAAAATAAATATATTCCTATTTTGTCTGTCTATCTATCTGTCTGTCTGTCTGTCTATCTATCTATCTATCTATCTATCTATCTATGGACAAGGTTTTGCTCTGCCTCCCTGGCTGGGGTGCATTGGTGCCATCATAGCTGACTGCAGCCTCAAACTCCTAGGCCCAGGCAGTACGCCTTAGCATCCAGAGTAGCTGAGACTGCAGGCTGACACCACCATTCCAACCTTCTAAAGTATTTAAATAAAAAAAGAATAAATGATTCCTCAAAACCATAAGAAAAGTATACATGCTTCAGTATAAAAATGGACAAAATGTAGATGGATGTACGGAAGAGGCAGTACATATTGCAAATAAAAATGTTTATCATCTTTTGATCAGGGGAAGGCAAATCAAGATTACAATAAGATAGCATTTAACACACCTTTGATTGGAAAAAAATTAAAATTCTGATGATACTAAGTAGATATTTTCTATCTTCTGGCTTGACTGTTACCCTAATAATTTTTCTAAAGATTATACATTGATCGCTTAGTTGAGTGAATTTTGTTATTAAGTAACTTTCATTCTTCCGCCAATAGGGCTCATGGATTTTTCATGTTTGAGACTTATACTTGAACATCATCTTGGCTAGGCATAGCAAATTATTAGTAGTAACTTCAGAAGGATACAGAGGCAGAAAAGATATAAAAGGGAAATTTTGCAGGGAATTGAGGAAGGAACCTGTTGCAGAATATTTCTTTATGAGATATTGTTTGGAGAACCAAAGCAGTATTTTGTTAAAGTGGTTTCTCCCACTAGGCTGTGTCCTCCCTGAAAAAGGGACAGTCTGGCACATAGAAGAATGGAAGGAAGTGTACGTGGGTTAATATGATTTTAGGGACTTTAAAGCATTGAAGAATACATTATGAATTCTAGACAATCTGCTAATATCACTTTCTAGTTGTTTTTTTTTTTAACCTACTCCGAAGTCTCTGGTTGGATTTTACATTTTTCTTGTTACTGTTGATGTTGTTGTTATTATTTTGAGTCAGAGTCTCACTCTGTTGCCCAGCCTGGAGTTCAGTGGCACGCTCAAGGCCACCCCAGCGTCGACTTGCTGGTCTCAGGTAATCCTTCCGCCTCAGCCTTCTAAGTAGCTGGAACTACAGGTGTGTGCTACCACACCCAGCTAATTTTTTGATGTATTGTAGAGACAAGGCCTCACCAAGTTGCCCAGGCTGGTCTGGAACCCCTAAACTCAGGCAATCCTCTCGCCTTGGCCTCCCAAATTTCTGGGATTACAGACTTGAGCCACCACACCTGACCTTCTTGTTATTTTTTGACTAAATTGAAATGGAGGCTCATTTTTCATATTTCATTATAACTAGATACATGTTATGATTTTAGAAGACTATTGGTATAACTTACTTTTCTACAATACTTGTATATATATTTTACAATATATATATTATGCAATATATATATTACACAATAATTAAAAATTCCAATAACTTAGTATTCTAAAAAATTACATCTACTTTTCTGACTTGTTTCCCTTATATGATAAATAATTTGTAGAAATACATCAAGTTTTATGACTTTAATTTCAGGTGTGCATATTAACATTCACAGCCTTGCTGAGGTAGATGTGAACAATGAAGTATGTGGGCATTTTTACTGTTCTGAAGGAGGAGCCATACTTATATTCTAACATACATATCTTATTTTTCTACCTAAAAGAGCTATGTTCATATAAATGAATGTTAGAAATAAGTTCTTAGACTTGAACGTTGTACATAAATTTCAGGAACTAAAATATTTTATTGTACTTATTTTCACATGTACAGGAAAATACAGAACAATAATATACTTAGGTACACACATACACATCTCTTAGATTTACCAAATTATTAACACTTTAGTATGTATTTTTTGATGTTGTAAACTACAGCTGTCAGAACATTCCAACCCTTAATACTTCAGAATAAAGCTCTTTAAAAAAAGACACTTTCTTCATAACTATAGTACCTTTATTTCAACATACAAATGTAAAAGATTTTTAAAAATATTATCTAATATCAAATTAATATATTATCTAATACCAGACCATGTTCATATTTCTCTAGTCTCAAAATGGCTTTTAAACATTTATTTGAACCAGAATTCTCTTGGTTTTTGACTTCTTTAAGATTTCCTTTATCTGGAATGGTTCTCTCTCCTCTGCCACCTTTTTTCTCTTGTTGACTCAAAGAAACCAAGACAGTAGGCCTGTAGACTAGAATATTTCCTTCCGACCTCTATTATTTTGTGGTGTCTATTACCTTGTTACTCTAATCTCTGAATTTTCTGTGAACTGGAAGTTCTATCTAAAGCTTTCTTAGATTCATATTAACAGTTACCCTACCCCACTCCCACCCAAATCACTTCAAAGATGAAGCTATGTTTTTAATTTTGTGTTACAAAATCTGGTTATTCTACTATAAACGATACTAAGATAGGTCACTGTATTCAGGTTCTTGAGATGTTTGCTTGTTAGTTTTTAAAGCAGAGTATATTAACTAGAATAACATGAAGTTTTTCTGAATGCTTTCATACTGTAATGCTTGCATTTTTGGAGTGCTTTTTTTATTCCTCAAAGCACTTAGTAGAAGGGATTTAATAAATATTTGTTGGCTTTGTGTCTTAATTTTTATATGCTTTTTTTCCTTTAGATTTATCTGTTTTCTCTGTGAAAAGATAAGACAATTATTTTCTTTTTTGATTTTAGGTTTTTGGCTACTGATGTTACAAACAATAAAATATTGGCGTACAGAGTTGAGAAAAAGACTTAAACCAGGTAGGTAGATAACATCTAAGAACCAATAAAGCTACCATTTATTTTTATTAAAATGGTTATTGATATAATTGACAACATTGTGAAATGCATTGTAGAGCACTATTTCAAAATTAGGTTTCCTGAGTCTGGTAATTGTTCTGTGATTATATAAGATAATATTCTGAAATATTTGTGATGAAGAGGTATGATGTATACAATCTACTTTCAAATGGTTCGGAAAAAATAAATGATATCTAATGTGAGTGAAAGAATTTGGAGTAGTTTGTGGATCAGGTCAAGCTCATATATTGCCAGCAGAAATATAAATTGGTCCAACTTTTCTGGAAAGTATTTTAGCAATTTGTATCAAGTCTTAAAATAGGTTAGCCCAGAAATATTACTTTTGCTCCTAGAGTGTAATTGTAGGAAGACTGCAAAAAGATGTATTTATATTATGAGAATGTTTACAATTGAGAAATCGGCAGCAACTCAGTATCTAAATATAACACAATGTCTACAATATATTTCTAAGTATCAAAGAAAGTTACTAAACAAGCATGAATAGTATAACCTGTTTCAGCTTTTCAAAAATGCTGCATGTGTATAGATACATGAATATATATATGTGTTTGGTTAATATACAGTACTTTGTAAAATGTAATGTGTGCTATAAGTCCATGTATGTACATAGACATTTGGAAAGATGACATCTGTATGTTACCAGTAATTATTTTTGAATAGTGAGTTTATAAGTGATTTTTATACTTTTTAATATTATCAATATTACCTGACTTTTAAAGCAGAGTATGTGTTGCTTTTCTCAACAAATTCTTAGTAAGATGATTAGGTTATTAAGTTTATGTGTTTTTACTTATACCTATGTAGTAACTTCTGGTGTGCAATAACAACAGTGCTGTATTTGCTGACAATTTGTACTAGATTGGGGAAGGTTTCTGAGTAGTGTTTAGGAGGTTAAGGTCACAGATTCTGTGACTTGTTGGTCAGCTGCTTTCATTCTGTTATGTGGTCAGAGTCTGTTTAACTTAACTCTCGCTTAACTGTCTTACAATGTGATGCTGCTTACACAACCTAACTGAAGTATATTCCTATTTTTGGAAAATCAGAGGACATATTCTAATTTTATTTTTTACTTTTCTTTAAAAGGTTTTTTTAAAACATTAGTTTAAAATATGGATCCTGAAACAGGGGGACCAGAGATTATTAAAGTGACTCCTCTTCAACAAATGCTTGCTTCTTGTACTGGAGCTATACTGACATCACTGATAGGTAAAATTATGTTACTGATGTAGATTATGTTATGTTGAATGAATCAGTGATTCCATTTGAGTTTTACTATCAGTAAAATGGTGATAAATGTTATTATTTATCCCTCATGAATGCTAATGTTCCTTCAACATGATAATATGAAAAGAACCCTGGACAGCGATTCAAGAGACTTGAATTTTTAATCCGTACTTTGTCATTCTCAGAGTGAATATATTTGGGGACGGTATCAGACTTCTTTTTGAACTTCACTTTTTATCTGTAAAATTAGGGGCTTAGACCAGAATTTCTGAGTTCCCTATTAACATTAAGCATTATCACTGACCTTCTTTATCACAGAAAACAAGAAGATGGAGTAAAATATTGACACAATAATACAGAATTTGAGCAATTTATAGTAGCAACAATTACGAATTATCTTTTACGTTGCTTTCATTAAACAGAAAATTTTTAGATTTCTCTGGAACACATTTTTCTCCTATTGTTACTTTTTTGTAGATAGATGTAGCTAAATGACATAGGTGATAGGTTAGCATTTTAGTGATTTTAAGTTAGCTAGTTTATTTTAATAAGATAACAGATGATTAATACAAATAAACTAATTGCCCTATGATATATTTTCAGGTCAGAATTCATTCTAGAGTTATAAAGACCTTAGAGATCAACTAATGTATTTGTCCTTATTCTCAGATGTGGAAAAGTATTCTTAGAACCATTATTTGGCTTTTTTTTTTCTACTTTGATAAAATATGGCATGCATATTGAAACCATTTTCCATTGCTTATGCTGTTCCCAAATGGAATAAGATAATCTAGTGCTGAAGATAATTTATGACAAACTTACTAAAGTTTTATTACTTGTAGCTCTTATTTGATAAGGTATATTTAACAGATTAGGAAAATTAATATCATTTGATTACTGATTATTTGTAATACAAAGTTATTAAATATTTAAATAGATTTTTAGAACATTTATCACTTACCTTAAAGAATGTATTTTAAAAAAAAATACTAGTATTTTAGTTTTAATGATAATAGATTGTAGTTGTAGAAATATTATAAATGACAATTTAGTACTCATGAAAGACAATTACATTCTACCTTTCACTAATCCTCTTTAAACAATATTCACGAATGTTATACTCAAGACTACTTTAAGGTAAATGAGCTTACCCATGAAGAAAAATATGAATCAATATCTTTTATGTTCTTTGGAAAATGTCTATACAATTTACAGGTGTCACTTGCTAATTGAAATTTATATATCTTCATAGTGACACCCCTGGATGTTGTTAAAATTAGACTCCAAGCCCAAAACAACCCATTCCCCAAAGGTATGTGTACTAGTTATAATGAAAATGTAATGTTAGAGTTATCTTTTGTTTGATAATATTCATTTTGATATTTTATCTATTATATTATTGCAATTAATGCCTCTTTGTCCTCATGTAGAAACATTTTTTTCACCATTCAGTTGTACCTGATAAGGTGTAGGCAGAAAATAAATATATATAACATTTTTATGGCTGTGCTAATTAAAGCAGAGTATACTTGGATAAAAACCTCACAGGTAAAGACATAATTATACTTGTAGGAGACCGTAACATCTAGCTTACTTCTTTGTCCACGAGTTGTATTCATGGTTGTCATTCAACTGTTGCTTGAATACAGTGATTGGAAATTTGTTATTTTTAGCAGACAGCTTGGTTAATTACTGGATAGTAGTTTTTGTGGAATTTGAGACAAGTAATTATATATTGTTATGCAGTTACTTTTACATATTAAAAGTAATTTTAATTTTTTATAGCTTTATAAATATAATGGCATTTCAAACATTCTTAAATAGCAGAAAACTGAACTATGAGAAAATTGATTCAGATATAAAGGCCACTCTGTTGAATGTATAGCAGTGACTTGAATGAACAACAGTGATATTTTTGATGAATAAAAGGAAAGATAGATTGTAGGAAGAGACGAAAAAGGTAATACAAACAGAGAAAGAGATAACACATAGCACTATTTACATTGAGAAGAACTTTTTCCATAATCTATTGTCTGAATTTTCCTTGCATGCCACAGAGTTTTCCTCTGGACAGGTTGAAAAGACATGTACCTATATTCCCCTTTCCAACTAGATTTTCCTCCTTTGAAACAGCTTTTTCTCCTTTATCTTTCTTCATTTCTTCAGACAACCTAAAAAAATTTATATATATGTGCATTTTGTTACTATAGTTCTGAAAACATAATGTCCACTTATTTGCTTCATTACTTTTCACAGCTCTGAGTTTAGAGTCCATTACCAAAGCATCAAGCAAATCAAGTTAATTATGTGTATTTCATCCTTAAAAATAGAAATGGTTCTTTATCTTTTCCAAGATTACTTCTTTTTTCTTAATTTTCTGCCTCCCTCATCATATTGTCAATTTGTTCATCTATAAAAATAATACAGTTAATTGAAGTAATTTTTGGCTGTTGGAATCTTCTTTGTTAGGAAAATGTTTTGTATATAGTAATGGACTAATGGATCATCTATGTGTCTGTGAAGAGGGAGGCAACAAACCATGGTATAAGAAACCAGGAAATTTCCAGGGAACACTGGTAAGAAAATTGTAGTATATAGAATCACAATATATTTTCTGTTTTTACATTTAATCTTATATGTGAAAGATTTTCTAATTGCAAGAGAGTAAAAAAAATATTAAAGCCCAAAAAAGGAAGTACTTTTTAACTTTTTATTCTTGTTAACTTTCTCTTTCATCAGGTTATGCTTTTTGTGTTTAAAAAAAAAAAAGATGGGGGTAACTTTTGTTTAAACAAAACCTTTTTTATTTTGAGACAATTGTAGATCACATGTAATTTTTAAAAAATATACAGACAGAGACAGATCTCATGTACCCTTTTCCAAATTCCCCCAGGGGTCCCATCTTGCAGAACCAATACAATGTCACTAGAATAATGACATTGATACAATTAAAATAAAGAATAATTTCATCATCACAAAAATCCTTCTCTGTTTTCCTTTTAGAGCCTCACCCTTGTGTTTTTGTCCACTCCTTAACTAACCCCTGGCAATCTGTACTACTGTTCTTCAGTTTTATAATTTTGCCATTTCCCAAGAATGTTATATTTATGGAATAATAGCATAACCTTTTGAGGTTGACATTTTTTTCTTAGCATAATTATCTTACGATTTATCTAGCTTGTTGTATGTATCAATCATTTGTTTCTTTTTATTGCTCAGTATAGATTATATCATGGCATGAATGTACCATGGCTTGTTTTCAATTACTTTCAGGTTTTGGCTATTATGAGGACAGCTGTTACAAATAGTTGTTAAAGATAATATATGATTTATTTTCATAAAATGGAAAGAAGTCTGCTAATGTGATCAAGAACACATACTAGGAAGCAGACGTGACCAAAAGCTTGTTAGAAAGGGAAGTGTGATGGTAGTCACATCGTCTTAGGGAAAATGAAATTTAGAGATAAGGAAGCTGAAGCCCTCCAATCAAATAGCAATTATTTATTTTAACCTTATTCCCACCAAAACTGCTTAGGCGACATCCAGGAGAAATTGGGAACTCATAATCCTTGATCACTGAGGAACCAGGGGAGGGGCTCACGTACTAGAAGATAAATTGCTTGTTGCAGTTGCTCTGTATGTGCCTGCACACCAGACACTCGATCTTGCAAGACCCTCATTAAAGTCTCGCTTCTGCTGCACTCCACGTCTCTGTCCTTTGATTTTGGAGGGTAAATTCTGTGTCTTACATCGTCACTCACTTCACTTTGTGTGAAGGTTAAGTCTTCATTCCTCTGGGGAAAATGTCTTAGGAGTACAGTTGCTGAGTCATGGTAGTTGCGTGTTTAGAATTTGAGGAACTGCCAACCTGTTTTCTATACCAGCTTTACCATTTTTCGTTCCCATAAACAGTAAACATAAACAGTAAATTCCCATTATCCAGTTTCTCCATATCTTCACTAGCTTTTGGTGTTGTCACTATTTTTATTTAGCAGTTATTATAGATGTATAGAGATATCTCATTGTGGCTTTAATTTGCATTTTCCTGGTGGCAAACGATGTTAAACATTTTCCCACATGCTTATTTGCCATCATTATATTCTTTTTAGTGAAATGACTCTGAAAGTCTTTTACCCATTTTCTAATTAAATTGTTTGTATTTTTACTGGTGAGTTTTAGGAGTTCTATACATATATTCTAAATACTAGTTCTTTGTTGAATGTGTGTTTTGCATATATTTTCCCCCCACTCTCTAGCTTTTGTTTTCATTCTCTTAAACATGGTCTTTCATGAAGTTTATTTTGATGGTATTCAGTGAATTAATTCTTCCTGCTTTTTGGTGTCAAGTGTAAGAACTCTTTACTTACAATTAGACCCCAGAGATTTTTTCCTAAAAGTTTTCCTAAAAGTTTTGTATTACATTTAAATCCATGATCCATTTTCAGTTATTTTTATATAAGACCTGCTCCTGAGGCTAAGGGTTGCTTGCTTGTTGTTGTTGTTGTTGCTGCTGCTGCAACACTGGATGTCCACTTGCATTTGTTGAAAAGGCTCTTTTTCCCATATTGAGTTGCTTTTTTGCACCTTTGTAAAAAATCATTTGAGCATATCGGGTGTATCTATTTTTGAGTTCTGTATTCTGTTCCATTTATCTCAGTGTCTGTTGTTCTATCAGTACCACACAGTTTTAATTACTGTAGCTATATAGTAAGTCTTGAAATCAGATAGACCGATTCCTCTTACTCTATTCTTATATTGTATTTTCCAAGTTGTTTTTAGCTATTTCCAAATTTCTTCATTTTTTTGCATACATTTTAGAATAACCATGTTTATATCTACAAAAAATATTGCTGGAATTTTTATAGGAAGGGTATTAAACCTATATATTAATTTCTGGAGAAACGACTTCTTCACTGTGTTGAGTTGTTTCAGTCTATTTTCAACCTGCCTATATCATTATAATTGAAGTGAATTTCTTATAGACAGCATACAATTGAGTTATGTTTTAAATCCACTCTGTCAGTCTTTTAACTGATATTTATTAGAATATATTGATGCAGTTATGGATATATTAGGATGTAAGCCTACCCTTTTATATTTTATTTTCTCTTTGTTCTATTTTCTACTTTTGTTTTATTTTTTCCTACCTTCTTCTATGTTGCTTGAACATTTTTAGAATTCCTTTTTTTTTTTTTTTTTGAGTTGGAGTGTCATTCTGTCGCCCAGACTGGAGTGCAGTGGCTGCTCCCAGCCACCGCAGCCTCGACCTGCTGGGCTTCAGCAATCCTTCCACCTCAGCCTTCCAAGTAGCCAGAATTACAGGCATGAGCTACCACGCCTGGCTGATTTTTTTGATTTATTGTAGAGATGAGGTCTCGCTGCCCAGGTGGGTCTTGAACCCGCAGCCTCAGGCAATCCACTCACCTCAGCCTCCCAAAGGCGTGGGATTATAGGCTGAGGCACCGAGCCCGGCTAGAATTCCATTTTTATTGCTAGTTTTTTTGTGTATATATTTCTATGCTGAGGCTTTCTAATTTTTAATTTATTTCAAACATGTTTGTAAGTGGCCGATGGTTTTTATGTTGGCTACTTTAAAATCTTTGTCAGATAATTCTAACATCTCTCTTATTTTAGTGCTGGCATCAATTTTTTATTTGTCTTCATTCAGTGTGGTTTTTCCTTGTTCTTAGATTGAGTGACTTTTCGATTGAAGCCTAGCCTAAACTCTTAATCTCAATTAAACATTTTGTTTTAACTGGCTTTTTCTGACTTTGCCTTCTCAGGGAAGAGGGATGCCACCTTGTTACTTCTGAGTAGAACTAGAAGTTCAGGCTCCCCACTCATCCTTCTTGACATACAATATGAGGGGAGACCTCTTTTACTGTGGGCTAGGGTAGAGGTTTGACTCTCCGTGTGCTTTACACTGACTGTGTACAGGTGACTTCATTTGGGAAAGTACTGACACTCTACTGTTCCCTCTATGACACCACCCTAGCAGGGGCCAGGAGAGGAACCTTATTGCTCAGCTGGTAGAGATAAAAGTCTTGACTCCATGTTGACCTTCTATGACATCACTCCAATGAAGGTGTTACATTGCCTCTTTACTGCCTTACAAGGAGTAGACATCGAGGCTACTTCCTTAGTCTTTACTGGTATGTGTCTGGGTGGTTCCACAATTTTTTTTTTTTTGGTGTTTGGGTAGTGTGGAGTGATTATTATCTAAAAGTTTTTTGTCCTAATAAGGTTCCCCTTTCCTGAGAAAACATGTAGTCCTTTGGGACACATGTAGTCCCATGGAAAACATGTAGTCCTTCAGTTAGCACACTTTTAAAGATTTATCCGTGTTGTAGCATGCATCAGCATTCTGTTTCTTTTTATTTTCAAGTAACATTCCATCATATGAGTATATCATAGTTTATCCATTCATCAGTTGATAGACATTTGGGTTATTTCTACTGTTTGGAATACTTAATGCTTCTATGAACACTCAAGTCTGTGTGAAGTATGTTTTAATTTATCTTGTATATAATTTTGTATAAACATATGTTTTAATTTCTCTGCTTATATACTTAGAGTTGTAATTACTGGGTAATATGGTAACAATGTTTAACCTTTTGAGAAACTGCCAGATTGTTTATTAAAGTAGCTACACCATTTTACGTTTTCACCAGCAATATATGAGGCTTCCAATTTATCCACATTCTCACCGGTAATTGTTATTGTCTGTCTTTTCTATTTTAGCTTATTTAGTGGACATGAAGTAATATCTTGTATGTTTGCTTTGCATTTCCTTAATGAGCAGTGATGTTGAACATTTTTCCATGTGCATATTGGCCATTTGTACATCTTTGGAGAAGTGTTTATTCACATCCTTTGCCAACTACAATTTTTTTGTTTTTTTATTATTAAATTGTAAGTTTTTCTATTAATGCAAGACTTTCCTTCAGTTTCTGTCTGCTTTTCATTCTTCTCCAGAGATTGCAAATAGTGAGGGCTTTTTGTTTGGTTTTGCTTTTGTTTTTCAGTTGGTGTCTTTTGAGTTGGTGTTTTGTTTTGTTTTTGAGCTGGTGTCTGACACCCCAGCATGGACCTGCTGGGCTCTGGTGATACTTCTACCTCAGCCTTCCAAGTAGCCAGAACTACAGGTGTGCGCTACCATTCCTGGCTAATTTTGGATTTATTGTAGAAATGAGGTCTTGCTAAGTTGCCTAGGCTGTTCCTGAACCTGTGGGCTCAGGAAATCCACTCACCTTGGCCTCCCAAAGTGCTGGGATTACAGGCCTGAGCCACTGAGCCTGGCCAAATAGTGAGCTTTGAGAATACTTTCTCTGATTTCAAACTTGGTCAAGAGAGTTTATCTAACCAGTTCTCTGCCATTAGTCTACTTTTTTTTAAATACTGATGTTCTAAAAACTTTGTTTCTAAGCCCTAAATAGAAAAATCCAGAGCTGAGTAATACAGACTTTGTTCTGTAAGAAGTTACTATCATTCAGAAGTACTTCATTTTACCTTTGTTAAAATCCTCTTTTAAAATAATGAACATGAGCCGGACTCGATGGCTCAGCCTGTAATCCCGCGCCTTTGGTAGGCTGAGGTGAGTGAATTGCCTGAGCCCGTGGGTTCGAGACCCGCCTGGACAGCGAGACCTCATCTCTACAATAAATCAAAAAATCAGCTGGGCGTGGTAGTACATGCCTGTAATTCAGGCTACTTGGAAGGCTGAGGCGGAAGGATCGCCGGAGCCCAGCAGGTCGAGGCTGTGGCGGCCGGGAGCAGCCACTGCACTCCAGTCTGGGTGACAGAGTGAGACTCCAACTCAAAAAAAAAAAAATGAACATGTATAAGTCCAAGAAGCTTATTTTTTAATTTATTTTTTAATTTTTATCTTTCTCTGATCCAGCTGACTTACTGAGTAAACTCCTTTTATTTTTAGAGATAAATGCTTGAAAGAAATTACTAACCAATTATAAATTTTTATATACATATTAGGTTTAGGGATATATTTTGATTGCTTTTTAATTATAATTTTAGGATGCCTTTTTAAAAATCATTCGAAATGAGGGCATTAAATCTCTGTGGAGTGGCCTTCCTCCTACCCTGTAAGTTGAAATTTAATTTTTTCCTACTAAATGATGTTTGTTGTTTTGTTTTATAATCAACATGACTGACCAAAGTCTGGCATTTTTAATATTAGAACTCTTTGATTATCTGAAGCTTTGAGTCTCACAACCACTCACACATTTAATGATGTGCTAGAAGAAGTCACAGCACCTGGAGATTTTACTCACAGATACGGTTTATTACAGCACAAAGATGCAAACCAGAATCAGTCAGGGAAAAAAAAACACATCAGGAGTTCTCTCTCATGGCATTGCACAAGATGTGCTTATTCATCTAGCAATGTACTACGGAATGTACAAAGTGTTTCTACCTTGGAAAACCCATTCAAATTTCTGGATGTAGGGGTTTTTATTGGACATTGGTTATGAAGGTACATTCTTTCTTTGAGGCCAGCTGTGATTAGCAAAACTTCACACCTCTCGGAGATGTTTACTATGAGTCACATTGTTTGCACAAATTAATTTATTTTGACTTTTTGTTTATTTTACTAAAACAGTATATTGCCATATGTGTGCTTTTCCTTCTCCAGATTATTCCACCTCTCTGCTAACTAGCAATTATATGAATTAATGCAATAAACTGGTAAGGCTTCATGAAAGTAAAAATCCCAAATAATACCTTGACTTTCTCTGCCTAATTTATAAGAACTTCTTTTATTCTTTTTATAGAAGAAATTACTCAATTTTGAGTCTTTTCATTTAATTTGATTTATTTTAATTTTGTTTTTATTTATTTGAGTCAAAGTCTCACTCTGTCACCCAGGCTGGATTGTAGTGGCACACTTAATGGCTACTGCTGTCTCTACTTGGCTGAGCTCAGGCAATCCTTCTGCCTCAGCCTTCCAAGTAGCTGGTAATACAGGCGGGCACCACCATGCCCAGCCAATTTTTAAAATTTATTACTAAGAAAAGGTCTCGCCACGTTGCCCAGGCTGGTCTTGAATCCCGGGGCTCAGGCAATCGTGACTCCTCAACCTCCCTAAGTGCTGGGATTTTAGGTGTGAACCACCACGCCTGGCCTTTGTGTCATATACCTTAAATAGTGCATAGAGTTATAAAGTTATTGGCAGATCCAAGACTATCAGTCTCCTTCCTAAATTGTCGGCATCAAACTTCACTATAGAACATTAGACATTCCAAACTATGGTCTGTGAATGTCCTGTAGGTAAACCACAAACATGGACTCGTTTCTTGTTGCATTAATATTTATGACATGACAGTACCTGCAACTTTGTGTTTTAAAATTAATAATTCTCTTTTGATACTTTTTCTTTGAAAGAATATGTCATTAGAATTCTCTCAAAACTAGTGTATATAATTCTGATGGTATTAATTATAATTTTTTTCTAATTGTAAGCAGGTGTGATATATGTTCCATAGTTCAAAAATGTTACTCATGTACTTTTTTTTGATTCTCCTGTTATGGTAAATGTGACTAGGAAAAAGATCTGAGAGACTAGAAACACAAGTCAAGGAGATGGAGAAGTGTCCTAATCTGTTTTTTTCTGTTTCCTGGGCATGCGCTCTTTATGTAATCTGAGTTTATATTTATTTAGTGCTATATATTGTAACTGTCTTCATAACTAGAAAGTAAACTTTTGGAGGGCAGATTCATATTTTGTATTTTGTTATTGTCTACTAAGTTTAGTACTAATCATTTTTAAAATAAAAGAAATATTGATCTCATAAGCTCATTTGCTATAATTTTTAGCTTATGCAAAATATATACATTCAAATATAACAATATTGGAATTTAATTTGAGTATGTTTGAAACCTTTGGATGATTTTGGACAAATCTTTTTGTTTGTGTGTTCTAACAGAGTGATGGCAGTTCCTGCCACAGTAATTTATTTTACCTGTTATGATCAATTAACTGCTCTTCTGAGGTCTAAATTAGGAGAAGATGAAACCCGCATACCAATTGTGGCTGGAATTGTGGCCAGATGTAAGTAATACATCTTTCTTTTTATGTTTATTTCTGCTTAGAACTTCTATTCAAATTTTGGCATTCATAGGGAATTTGTACAAAGTATTGGTATGGTATATTTTGCATTATAGTTTGTACTAATTTGTTAATATCTATACTCCAGAATAATATGGTATGATGATTACCATCAGAATGAGTGGGCATCAGCCTTTCTTGGTGAAATCTGGACATTGTTTTTAGAATGACACCAGAAGTGGTTCTGATTAACCTGACTTTCCAAGGTGTCATTTGGTATCATAGATAGTTCAGGCCGAAGTCCTGCATCATTTTCCTTATAAACTTTGGAATTCAGGGTTTTTTCAGAAGGAACTTTGCTTTTATGCAAAATAATGTTTTCTCTGTGAAATCAGAGTGAAGTTTATTGGGGCACTAACTGGAATGAGTTTTTTAATGTAATAGTTTTAGTTGATATAACATTTCTAGAACTGCCTTTGAAAGAGTTGCAAACAGAAAAAGTAAGGTATTTGACTTTTAAGAAATACCTTTACTGAGAGAAAAAAATCTATGCCAATTTGTTGACATCATTAGATATTTGATTTTAAGACTTTGAGACACTGCAGAATAAAAGTTTAAAGTATCATAAAATATATGAAATATTTTTGCATGTGTGTTTGCATAGTACATGGCTTTGTTTTTGTTTTCTTTTATTTGCTTGTTTGAATTAGTTGGTGCAGTAACTGTGATAAGTCCTTTAGAATTGATTAGAACCAAGATGCAGTCTAAGAAGTTTTCTTACAAGGAACTGCATCGATTTGTCAGCAAGAAAGTGTCTGAAGATGGTTGGATTTCCCTTTGGAGAGGCTGGGCTTCTACTGTTCTTAGAGATGTCCCTTTCTCAGGTAGGATTTATCTTACAAGTATCTGTTAAGTTTTAGGTAGCTTTGTCTTATTCATATATTACTTTTATTAGATCTTAAACTCTTTATGATTAAAGATAAGTTATTTTCTGTAGTGACCAAAACAAGTACTACAAATCAAAATATTACAGAACTCGTTTAAGACTACCTTTGAATTATATGAGCTCCTACTTTTGCAGTTATTAATAATAATCTCCCCACTAAATGAGTATCCTGTAAAAGACTATTATAAATCAGGTAGGTGATTTTACTAATCATTGAATTATGAAAAGAGATAAACTCATGAAAAGAGAGAAGTACAAATTCAACAATAATCTTTAAAATGTGCATACTTTAGTGGTATTTCCCTTGTGGATCATAGATATTTTTAATTGAGAGAGAACCCTTGTATTAATGTTCATGTTTCTTTTTAAAATTCTTCTTTGTGCTTTCTTATCCACTTCTCTATGCATCTTTCCCTTTCCGTGGTATTTTTTGGTAAACCTTTTGTGTTTAGTAATGCTGTTTAGAAACATAACAATGTAACAATCATAGGTTCCTATGGCAATTATGTTTTCTTTATCTTTTTATTAAGTAATTTTTTATGCACAAAAAGTAACATTTTGAAGTATACCAATAAATTGAGTACTTGTGAACTCACCACTTCGATATATGTGCTAAAATATTGCAGTTTTTTCTTTTCATGAAACCACATCTATGCTCTTCACTGACCACTATACTGAGTTTTTGTTTTTCATTTGATTTTTTTAATAATATTTTTGTGTACGTATTATTACTAAACAACATTTTAGTTTTGCCTAAAATAAATTCTTCTTTTACTCAAATATTTTCCTGCGATTGATTCTTATGTTTATATGTAGCTGATTTCTTCATTTTTACTCTTATTTACGTGAGTAAACAAGTAAACAATGCTGCTGTGAAAAATTTTAAGCAGTTTCTTGGTGCATCTATGAAAGTTTATCCTGTATTGGATTTATTGATTCCTATAAGTATGTACATTTCTAATTTTACTAGAATACTGAACTCTTTTATGAAGGTGATTATATGGATCTATACTCCTGCCAGCAATGTATGAGAGTTCCTGCTGCTTCCCACTCTTACCAACTCTTTTATTGTTAAAACTCTTAATTTTTTTTAATCTAGTAATTTAAGGTAGCATCTCACTTAAATTTGTATTTCCCTGATTATTAATAAGGTTGGGCACTGTTTCACTGGTTGCTCATTTATCCATACTTGATTTGGGGTTATGGACTATAGTAAATAGTCAATCTGATTTTCCCCCACATTGATAGCTAGTTGTCAGCATCATTCATTGAATAACTATAGCTGCTCTAAGGAACTGCAGTGTCTCCTCTGTCATATCATATTTTTTTGTATGCATAGATCTGTTTCACTGTTTAATTTGTTTAACCTTATGCTACTAGCACTTTATGAAAAATCTTGATATGACCTTATTTTTCATCCTTAGGAATATTATCTCTTTATGTTAGTATTTTTTTTTTTTAGTTTTTTTCTTTCTACACCATGATCAAGTAGGATTTAATATGTTAGTAATTTTTTAAAAGTTGTTTTTAGTAGAGATTTAATATTTTCATCATAAGTACATATTCATTTTTTTTTTTAGATTTACTTGCAGATATGCCTTCTCCCACAATTTTTGGTAGCTATTTTAAAAGCTCTATTTTATTTTTTTAAAATGTGTTCTAAAAACTCTTATAGAATCTAATTTGTTTGACTATCTTTTTGGTTTTTTATGTGTATAATAATATTATATATAAATTCTAAGCTTTCCATGTCACCATTTTAAATCATCTTAGCTTTTTTCTTTCTGGCTTGCTGCCTAGTAAGTTTTGAATAGTAGTGACAATCATGAGCATCCCTAGCATTTTCCTCATTTTAAAGTAAATAGTTCTTTTGTTTCACCATTAGTCATTATTTTTGCACAGGTTTTTGATACACATTCTTTATCAAGTTAAAGAAGTTTCCTTTTGCTCTGGGTTTCCAAGAAATGTATTTGTTTGCTTTAAATAGAAAAGTACTGAATTTTATCAAATGCTTTTTCATCATTATTTTTTTTTTTTTTGAGTTGGAGTCTCACTCTGTCACCCAGACTGGAGTGCAGTGGCCGCTCCCAGCCACCGCAGCCTCGCCTGCTGGGCTCTGGCGATCCTTCCACCTCAGCCTTCCGAGTAGCTGGAATTACAGGCGCGCGCTACCACGACCGGCTAATTTTTTGATTTATTGTAGAGATGAGGTCTCGCCAAGTTGCCCAGGTGGGTCTCGAACCCGCGGGCTCAGGCAATCCACTCACCTCAGCCTCCCAAAGGCGCGGGATTACAGTTTTTCATCATTATTAAATGATCCTACAGTTTTGTTAACATGGCATATGACACTTAAAGGTTTTATTGTATTACATTTATTATGTTTGCCTTTCTGGGATAACCCAAGTTATAATGTGTGATCTTTTATGAGATGTTTCTGGCTTCAGTTTGATTATTATTATTTCATACCTTGATGAAGCTTATATCTATGTTCATGAGTAGATTGGCCTTTTTCATTTCTCCAACTGGCCTTGTCAGGTTTTAGAATTATAGTTCTACTTTACTGATGTAGTTTATTTCTGTTTATAAGACTGGTATAAATAGGATGCTACTGAGAATTTTACTCCTTTACAAAGAAATGTCTTTTCTTTAAAGTTTACATTTTATTTCTAAATGTGTTTATTCCTTTCTCTGTTTTTATAGCAATGTACTGGTATAACTATGAAGTTTTAAAAAAATGGTTATGTGAGAAATCCGGTTTATATGAACCAACATTTATGATCAGCTTTACTTCAGGGGCATTGTCTGGTTCTGTAAGTTTATTCGTTTGTTGTTAATATTTCAGAAATATGATAATTGTCATATTAAAATGTTATATAGCATCTTATGTATATTGAAATAATATATACTTTAGAGCTGCACTGCTTGAAAATTTTTCCAAGTATTTGCCATACTATTGTAAGGGAATAAATAATTAGCAATTAAGATAGTTTAAAATATACTTTGTGTTTATGTTTTTATTATATTACAAATACATTATTATATTTTTCTTGGAAACGTTTACATTTGTTAGATCATAATAGTAATGATAATGGTTATATTTTAAAGAGTATTTTATTAGTGTGTTTTGCAGCCTGCTAGTTCAATAAATGCTAGTAGATCTGATTAGGTAATATTTCATAGCATGTCATCTCACACTATGAAAATTACATATGGCCATTTTTGGGTAATAGAGAGTTCATGTTTTCCCAACCCTCCATGAAATATGATATGAAAGTTGTGTAGTAGACTTTATATCACCATGACCTTGGCCATAGTTTCCTTATACCCACATACTTCTAAAATGAATTTGTAATAACTTAAAAGTAACACAGTGACGTAACTATATAAAAACAATAGTGTAGGGGCAAAGTAAAGCAATGGAGACTTTTAGGAAAATAGAATAATATATCAGAAAACATAGACCAAGAAAGCCACTGCAATTGAGTTCAAAACTTAGACATGGGCCAAACATGGTGGCTGACTTTGGGCTGTTTAGGTGGGAGGCTCACTTGTTTCAGATCAACCTGGGCGACAAAGCAAGACCTCATCTCTATAACTTAAAAATAAAAAAACGCAGCTGGTCATGGTGACATGCACATGGAGTCCCAGCTACTCAGGAGACTGAAGTGGAAGGGTCACCTGAGCCCAGGAGATCGAGGCTGAGGTCCCAAATTGCTGAGCCACAATACCTGGCCAGAAAAAGAATATATATTTTAATGATTTTTCTAATGATCTCGAAAATGTTGCTGCCTTTTGATCGTTTTCAAATAAAGTTTCATTTGTGCAACAGAAAAAAACACATGAATGTGACAGTGTCCAGGCTTTCTGTCAGAAAAGAGAGCAGCTTAAACCACCACATGCTAGAAAGTGTAGAGAAGCTTATATAACACTGTAGCTAATACATAATAGACTGGAGATGAAGAAACAATAATTGAGCTACCTGAGATCTTTAAAACTGATTTTAAGAATCTAAATCAAGAAATTGTTAGAGTGAAATAAAATGTAGATGGTTTTTAAAGGATGCTTTTTTATTTTATTTTTTATTTATTATTTTTCTCTTTTAATTTTTTTATTTTAAAGATGTGGGGTATAATTCAGGGTTAGGAATACAAATGTTCATTATGCAGGTACCCTTGTTGATGAGGTGTGCCCCTTAAGGAAAATTTTATGACCATATTGGCCAAATTTGAGTTGGGAAACAAAGTAGAGACCAGATTTTACCTTGCTCGGCTCTTTTTTCTTTCTTTTCTTTTTTCCTTCTTTTTTTTATTTATTTATTTATTTTTTTGAGACACAGTCTTGCTCTGTCACCCAGCCTGGAGTGGCATAATTGTAGCTTATTGCACCCTTGAACTCCTGGGCTCAAATGATCCTTCTGCCTCAGCCTCGCAAGTAGTTGGGACCGCAGGTACACGACACCACACCCAACTAACTTTTTTACCTTTTGTGAAGAGGAGATCTTGCTAATTGCCCAGACTAGTTTTGAACTTCTGGGCTCAAGTGATTCTCCTGCCTTGGCCTCCCAAAGCAATGGGATTACAGACCTGAGCCACTGCACCCAGCCTGTAAGAACATTCTAAAAGGAATTTAATTATTTTAAAAAATCCTCCCTTAATTAAGGCATTATGGAAGTATTAATTCATTTTGATAAAAGTTTTTAAAAATGTTTTTAAAGTGTTTTGTTTTCATTATTAGTAGGAAAAAATGTGATTTGTGAACCATATTTGAATACATAAATATATACATGAATATATATAAATATATTTTTTAAGTTTTATAGGATTAAAAGTTCAAAATCCATTTTCTTTGTTTAAACTTAATTTTTTATTTTATTGTAAAAACATTTGCTGGAAAATTTTGAATGCTTACTAGATACTTCTGCTTTGACACATATGTTATATCTACATGTGAAGTGAAGGAATAATAGGACACACAGGAGCAGCAGAAGCTTTGAATACTGGTAGTGGAGTCAGAGCAGTCTGGTTGGAATTCAGGCTCTGCCACTAGTAGCTGTGTGACCTCAGGAGAGTAAGGGCACTTTTTAGCACTGTTTACTTATATTAGTGAGAAATAAGACATATATCTATTTTCTTTAGTAAGACCTTTTGTTTAAATAAACATGCTTTCATTTTAAAATTCAGTTTAGTTATGATCTTCATTAGCCTTGTCAGAAAATATGCTAATTAGAAGAATATAAAAATATTTTGGGAAAAATTAGAAGCTTGATTGAAATTAATCAGTTTTTCTGATAGTTTGCAGCTGTTGCAACTTTACCATTTGATGTAGTAAAGACACAAAAGCAGACACAACTTTGGACATATGAAAGTCATAAAAGTAAGTTTTAATTAATTAAAAACATCTTTAAGACCTCATTTTTGTTTTTATTTCCAGATATTAAGTTAGGAATGTCTAAAATAAGGAAAACAATTTTTTTCTTTTCAGCCTTGTTCTTTATTTAAGTGAAACTAATACACTGTTAGAATACCTAGAAAAAAAATTCTAAGCCCAAACAAAAAAATTTAAGAAATCTTAAAGCCTAATAATTCTTGACTGTCATCAGTTAAGTCTCAGACCTGATAAAAAGAAAAGTAATCTGTGCTGTTCAAAATCTGGATTATTTTATGATATTTTTTCCTACAATTCGTTTTCACATTTGTTTCAAATTTTCATTTTTATTCTTCATATAAGTATTATTTCAAACAAACAAATGAAATAAATCTAGATAAATCAGGGCAAAGGATAGGAAATTACTGGAAAACCTTTCTTCTCTTGGTGTTTTTTGTTATATGTATATGTTTTATTCTCATTTTGTTTATTGTATTGATATGTTTCTTTTTCTACATATTATCCCATCCACTTTTACTTCTTTTTAGCCTGTAATTCCTTCTAGAGCAAACATGTACAATTGTTTGCTTCTACCAGATCTTGTGCCATTTATTCTTTAGAAAGTGTGGCAAACCCATGGGAGATTATCTGTTGCAAAATTATGTTATGTAAGTCTTGTGAGCTACCAGATACCTGTACCCTCTAATATTTGAAGCTAATGAAAACTTGGGAGGTGATCAATGCTTTATTATATCAGAGTTCTCCCACTTTTCTATTTTAGACATGAGGCTTGTAGATATTAAGCCTTATCTGTCTTCCTTTGATAGTTCAAAATTATTTTGTTTCATTCTTCTTTTCTTCTCATCAGGATTCCTAATTTCCCTTTTAAGTGAAATATTTAATGGGGTATGCGTTTTCTCTTTGGTGTGATTTGTCATAAATAGTTCATGACTGGCATTGGTGGTATTCAGGTGGTGGTGGTGATGATGGTGATAAAGGAGAAGATGGGAATCTCCACAGGTAGATTTTGGTGCACACTTCAAAGTTTGGGAGCCACTTACCTTGGTAAAATAAATAATCTCTGGGGTCACCTGAGGTGCTTATTCAGTATATCTAATGCTGGTTATCACCCTCAATAGACTCTCATCTAAAGTAAGACTCTAGCTTGTATATTTTGAAAATGATCCCGAGGTGCTTGTGATGTATGTCTTTATTGAGACTGGCACCAGGGAGCCATCATCTTTATTAGATTTAATTTATTTCTCACTGTTTTTTCTAATTAATGTTTCTTCACTTAAACCTAAAAAAAAGAAACTTTAAATAAGAGTCAGGCTTTAATTACCCCTGATTACATCATTGATTACTTTTACATATTACTCTGCTTCAGCTATGAACCAGTTATGTAAAGGTTTAGCAAGATATATTTCTATTGCAAACTGCACTTCTGATGTAAACATCCCATACTTATTCTCATGATTGCATTGTGCATTATTTATTCCCAACAAAGAAGTGACCCAGCTTCAGTTAGAAGTGGCTTCCTCCTTTCCACAACTCAGCTATATCAAATCCCTTATTGCATCCCTAACCAGAAAAGAAAATATGAAGTGTTGCTTATAGAATGATTGTCAGTTCCATGCAAGAATATAATCTGCCAACCCATGCAGATCCCTTTATCTGAACATAGTTAATTTTAAATTTTGATTTAAGATTTAATAAATTAAGTTTAATATTTAAGACAACATAAAGGAACCATTAAAATGGTTATACTAGTCAAATAAACTTAATAAAATGTTCAATTTGGGTAATAATAAGGAATAGCAGAGAGAGGACATTTTTAAAAGATTAGATTGTTGTGGAGGATGTAGAGCACTGGGAACTTCCTGCCATGGCAGTAAGAGTATACATTTGGAATGACTATTTGGGAAAACAATCTGGTAGTATCAAGGAATGCCCGCTTGAGTTCTCAATTCCACTCCTAGACATGTGCCCTAGAGAAACTTTTGCACACATACAAGGATATTTGCTGTACGATTCTTAATAATAGCAAAAAAATTAGAAAAGTGTTCCTTGGCAGGAAATGGGTAAAGTGTGACAATTCATATAATGCAATTCCATGCAGCAATTAAAATGAAGTAGAGCTATAGTTACCAACATAGATAATCCTAAAAGCATACTGCAGGAGTAAATGTAGAGTGTAATATGATGTATACAAAGCTTAAAAGCAGGACAAGCAAGAGTATACCTTGTTTATGGATATGTTCACATGTAAACATTTAAACAAATGCATGAGGAAGATAAATGAAAGACAAGAGAGTAGTTACCTCTGGGAGAGGAAGATTGGGGAGAAGTGGAATTTTAACTGGATCTGAAAGATGTAATTGTTATGATTTAATAAATTTGTGTGATGAGTAATTGAGTATTTTCTGGGCTTTGCTGTATGCTTGAAATGTTTTATCATAAAACAATGTTTCTTTATAGTGTAAGAATTTGCTTATTACCTATAGGAATAGCTCTTTAGTGTTGAAAGAGGAGATGCTTTTGAGGTTCCACTAGAGCTCAGCCATAGCTTACCTTCAGTTGATATTCTTTTTGTCATTCTCACTTACATTCTCTTTCACCTGCTGTTAATACAGAGATTATTTGAGGCTTGAGTTGTACAAGATTAGAGATTACTGGCTGATTGATTTCCTTTCATTAGTTTCCAAAATTTAAATGAAATAATTTAAATATGACTTAAAAGCTGCCATCTTGTAGTTTAAACTTCTTGTAATTGACGTCTTTTGGAAAGTTAAATTTCATTCATAAATATTTTATAATCAGTGTTGTTTGCTTTCGTTTTATGTTTATGCTTATGCTATGTATATTGACAGAATAGTCTCTTAAATAAATCACAAACCTTATTTATCTACATAGTCAGAGGTTCTTATATTTTGTATAAATGAAATTTTGAGATGACTCCCACTCCATTAATTAGTAGTACATATTTTAATCTCTTAATTACTCACGGTTATCATCAATGTAAACACTGATTTTTGTAGAGTAGCGGCTCTCAGAAGCTAGAGAAGGCAATATAGGATTGTTTGCCTGTCAAGACTTTGAAATCTTCAGCCTGTTAGCTGGCACACTGTTTACATGGTAAACAGCTAACAAGTATGCCTGCTTTTAGACTGTTTTTATAAAACTGATAGCATGTAGTAGTCTGTGCGTGGGCTAAGCCAGATGCTTAGAATTAATATGTAAGGTAAGCAAGCTTTGTGTGCGAACACTTCATTTATAAGCTTTACACTTGAACATCAGTGACATCTATTTTTGCCAACTTTTAAAAAATTAGTTTTTTAAACTAGTTTTCATCCAGATAGTTGAGTGGTTGCAAAGAAGTGAGATTGTTAGTTAAAATATGCCCTTTGAAGGTGACGACACTGGTCTAATTTATGTCAAGACTAATGTATCTATTAAGAAAGGTAGTAATAACACAGGACACCACTAGGGAGAGTGAGCTACTTTCCTCAGAAACTCTAGGAAAAAAGAAATGTTTTTAAACTGTGTACAATAAAATTTGAATGAAAAATGGTTGTCAGGAATTTTCTTTGGCATTAGATAATCCACAATGTTTTCTATACATCTTTTGTTTTTGTTTTCATTTTTTTTTAAGAGGCAGGGTCTCACGATGTTGCCTAGGCTAGTCTCGAACTCCTGGGCTCAAGTGATCCTCCCATATCAGTCTCCCAAGTAGCCATCTATACATCTTTTTAAAATTTCACTATAAAAGATTTTTGAGACATAGAAAAAGTATACAGAATAGTACCATCAAGCTTAAGAAACAAGCATTATCAATTCAAGATAAGCCTTCTATATATTTCTCTTTGATTGCATCCAGTTCTATATACTTTTAAACTTGTAGCCTTTTTCTGTTTTTTTAAAAAGATAAATCCCACTATTAAAAATAAAATTTAAAGTAGCTCTTTAGGTAAACAAATCTGTTAATATTATAACAAAATTATATGCTCCCAAGACCATAAACACTTTAGGTATATTGTCTGTATTAGAAATTATTAAATTGTGATTTATAGGCATTATTTCTTTATTTTAACATTTAGTGTCTATGCCTTTGCGTATGTCAACCTGGGTTATAATGAAGAACATTGTTGCTAAAAATGGATTTTCTGGATTATTTACAGGTAAAAATACTTGCTTTACTGAGTCTTTGAATAGAATGATTACTTTTAAACCTATCACCTAAAAATAGGTAACATTCCACATTTACTATTTTCTTCTCAATATATTTGCTATAACTTAGAATAAATACTAAATAACAGTAGAGTTACTCTAAGATAACATTTTCTTTTTTTTAATTTTTAATTTTAAAATTGTGGGGTACAGTTAAGGGTTAGGTTTACAAATATGCTAAGATAACATTTTCTATATAACATAATATGGAATTGAAGTGAGGAGGTTGTGAGTGAACAATTTGACCTGTTTTTTTAATGGTGCAGAATTTGTTGTATCACTTTGCTTAATTTGATCATTATCAGAATAGTGCCAAATAAATTCTAATTTTAAAAATAAACTAATTTTAATTCTTTTTTCAGGTTTAATTCCTCGCTTAATTAAAATTGCTCCTGCGTGTGCCATTATGATCAGTACATATGAATTTGGAAAGGCCTTTTTCCAGAAACAAAATGTTCGAAGGCAGTAATTCTAGTGATGCTGTTTCAACTTGAAATAACAACTATAGCCAAATAAGATGGAGACTCTTTGGCAAGAATTTTTTTCACGATTATTTTAATACAATTATTTTATGTCTTTCTTTCCTGTAACTTAAATAAATAGTTTCTACTCTACCTCTAAATCATAATTCTAATTTTAAAACAAAATTTATCCTATTTTTGGTGATATTGAAAAGGATATTCCAGAAATGGCAACCATTGCACATTCTTATCTATATTAAAAAAAAGAAAAAGAAAAATTGCTTCTTAGCACCGAAAGCAGTCTCCAGGAGTTTAATATTCTATGTTTCATGGTAACTTAAATCTTACTGGGAGTGTCAGATACTTTAGAACTTTTTGAGTTGTGTGCTGAGTGATATACAGAGTCTAGAAGAAAAAACCCAAGTCTTGTGCACATTTATATCATGTACATCAGTATTTCAGTAGTTGATAGAAGGCATTCAAACTTACCAAATATTATGTGTTATTTATTTAATTCAAATACATTGCCCCCCCCCATGTTGTTTTAGAGCCTCAGGTGTATTAGAATTTCTCTCATCAAAAGGTGTGGCTATTTTATCTTTATGAACCAAAACAGAGTCTTTTGTGTGATGTGGATCCTAGTACTTGGGATGACAAGAAGACCTTATGTTTCTATTGTTTCTGCAAGAGAGGGAGTTTTTGTTGTTGTTGTTGTTGTTTTCTGATAGTAGCAACTGTTTTCAACTTGAGTGTGCAGTAGCAACCCACATCGTATTTAAGTAGTAAAATAAAGTTTGGGCACAGGAATAGCCTCTGTTCTTTATTTTATAATCCAAGAATCCTTGTTCATGGAATTCTCTAGCTCATTTCCTCTGCTTTGTTCTAACAAGACAGAGATCATTACTACAATAACAGTCAAAATATTTCCAAGATGTCCCTTAATTTTATACCATCTCACATCACACGTTAGACCAACAGACTAAACAAGAAGCTGTTTCCTTGAAGACATTGCATTTAGTTCCTGTACATGACTAAGAAATTTAGTTTATGACTGTATGTATAAATGAGATTTAAAGGATATAATGGCAGGACAATAAATGGTATTCTTTTAATGCTTTTGCTTGATTTCCTTAGGATCTAACCTCTAAGAAAAAGCACTTTATTGGAGTCTGTGTATTTTATGAAAATGTGAAGCATTTTTTCCTCTTCTAAAATTGAGTGAAATTTAGGTGACATATCTTCTTTAGTACTGGTAGATGAATTAATGCATTTTGTATTTTAATAATAAAGTATTTACTTGTTTCACCAGAAATAAACTGTATAGGGTTTATATGTAACTTTTTGTGTTTATTTTAGCCTGTTGATTTATCTTAAATTTGCAACATATGCATTCATAGAAATACAAATATTCATGGCTTTCTTACATTTTTATTAAAATATGCCTTCTCAAAATTATCACTGTGCTTCTAAATATTTTTATATAAAATCATTATGTAATGCTATACTGTTATATATATGAAAGTTTATCTTGAACACTGCTATTAAACAGTGCCACATTTAAATTGACCTTGCTTTTGCTATGCTTCTTATTGATAACTGGTTGAAAAAGGCAGGTAAATGTAGTAAGCAGTCACATATTTCAATTTAATATTGCCTATACATAAGAGAATGGTTTCTCTCTCCCCCAGTTTCTGTACTGCACACCAGGGAAATTCTTACTAATGAATAAAGTAAGCTGAATACATCTAATTACCTAGTAGTTTTTCAAACACATATTACATGCAGTGTTTTTGAATGAAAAGAAGGCTGAATTGAAGCTTTCTCTACACTTAAGTGGTGAAGAAGTATTGATACTTAAAAAATATATTATCAACCACAAAAGGTTTGTTAGAAATTATTTCAGCATTTTGTCATAATAATAACTTAATTTTCATATTGAAAGAGTACCTGGATAAAACTTAGTCCATGGAATGGCTGAAATATTAAAATTTCAGTTTTCTCTCAGAGTTCTGTCTTGTAAAATAATGGCACTATAATTGACAGTGATAAACATTCCCAGATTTCACTTCAGATCAGTGGACAAGTTTAACTTCCAGCCTTATAGGCTTTCCAGTCTTTTTCTTTTTCCCAGTCTTTTCAATACATATATTGCAGGAATTGCAATATTTGTAAACATGGTCTGTAACCATGTTCTTGGTAATGTGATGTTTCTAAAACAGTTTTTATTCTATTAAAACAATGTTAGATTTTCTACCATATACATTTAATTGCTTAAATGTAAAAATTTTAAGAAATGTGTTGAATAGTCGAGTAATAGATGTTTGGGAGCTTTAATATACATTTGACTTTTTAAAAAGCAGACATGGAGTTAAAATTATTTTTGTTTGGAAAACTATTCAGTCTGCTTATTCAACCACATGACTCCTCTGAATTTTTTCCTCCTTTGTCTTGGACGCAAATTTTAAGGATGTGGGAAAGTCTAGTGTATCACTTTTGAGTTTTTTTCCAAAATAAACTTTTAAAATAAAAGATTACTGCTTTTATTTTTTTAATCTGTTAACATTTATTGAGACCTTTTATGTGGTGGGCAGTATAAAAAGTACTGGAGATAAGACACTTCAGATATTGTCACTGGCCATAGGAGGTTGCAGAACTATGATTGGTAGATGTATGCAAAGGATGTTATGGGAAATCTGAGGAGCTCCTCACTCACCTGGGGCCCAGGAGCAGTCGGGAGAGCAAGATTTGGACTGACAAGCACTCCAGTTTGACCTGCAGGGACATGGGGTCTCAATGAGGCAATGGTAGTCCATGTGGCTTCAGCCAAGTATGAGGGGGGACCCAAAACCCCCCAGAATTTACTTATTAGAAGTGTATTTACTCTTACATGCTTAAACTTCAGTCACCTTCAAAATACTCATTTGATGCAATACATCTATCGAGATACTCTTTCCACTGCTCAAAATGGTTTTTGTACGTGTCAATTTTGATACTTTTTGGTATTTCTACCATTTTTTTGTTTCACCTCTTCCACATCAGCAAAACATTTCCCTCCAAGGGGTTTTGTCATCCGCAGAAACAAAAAACATTTCCCTGAATAAGATCAAGTGAATAGGGAGAACGGGGCACAAGGATCGTGCCATTTTTGGTCATAACTGCTGAACATTCAGCACAGTATGGGCAGGTGGGCTTGGAAGTCACTCATCATGAAATGGGCACACGCATTGAAAGAATCTCCCCCTCAAAAAAACTCACTGAGGCCCAAACACAGCCTCTCCCAACAATGCTATCTGGTGCACTGACACGATGAGTTCCTGAAACTTACCAAGTGGGAAACGCCTGTACTACAAGGGGCCTGCCCTCCAAAAAATACTTCTGGGTTTTTGTGAGTCTCCCCCCTTATATGCATGGGAACGGGATAGGAAGTCAGATCGGAAATGTAGTCAGGCCTCCTGGGCTAAAGGAAGAACACGAAGGCAGCAAGAAACCTGTGAAGAGTCTTGGCACAGCTACAGCAGTTGGACTTGGCTTTTGGCAGGGTAACTGGCCATATGGAAACAAGACTTTAGGTTTGTAGTAAACATACTTTTAAAATATGCCATGGCCGGGAACGGTGGCTCATGCCTATAATCCCAGCACTTTGGGAGGCCAAGGTGAAAGGATTGCCCGAGCCCACTGGTTCAAGACCATCCTGGGCAACTCGGTGAGACTTCATCTCTGCAATAAATCAAAAAATTAGCCAGGAGTTTTGGCAGGTGCCTGTGGTTTCAGCTACTTGGAAGGCTAAGGCAGAAGGAGCACCTGAGCTCAGCAGGTCGAGGCTGCGGTGGCCATGAGAGTGCACTCCAGCCTGGACGATGGAGTGAGACTCCAACTCAAAAAACAAAACAAAACAACAACAACAAAAAACGCCATGATGACAAAGGTAATTTTATATTCCCCTTATTAGTCAAAAAGAACAAATGCTAAAGTCAGATAGAAGCTGCTTTGTTTACAGAATAGCAAAATGAGCTGATTTGAAACATTTTAAGAGTCCTGAGTTTCAAAGCAATTTTGTGACAGTTCAAAGGTAATCCAATGTTAGTTTAGCAAGATCTAGACACTCTACCTAATGACAGGAACTTTAATAAAGGATTTTTCATAGGTTGTAAATTTGAGACACATTTATAACCACTTGAAAACTTGTAAGTCTAATGTAAAATAACTTTTTTAAGGTTTCTGCCAATCATAATAGCTTGCATTTGGTATTTCTCTCTTTAGTGCTTGTTTACATGACTTCATTTAATGCTGACGTCATCCTAGTGCCATCTCATAGGTGCCAAGAAGATGGTAATGATTGTGTTTACAGGTAAGAAAATGAACATGGCTATCATATAATTAAAACAGTAATACTGCCAGAACCACTACTGAACTGTACAGCTTCAATAAACATTGGATAAACATTGGATATTCTAAAGGATATTGTTATTCTTTTTAAATAAAGAGTATTTAATTTGACATGAGTTGAAATAGGATTTTTCTAATTCCATTTTCGTATTATTTTAGGGTTAAATAATATGTTTACCACATTTGTTGAAACAAAAGTTCTGTGTACAACTTGAGTCAAGTAACTTTATGTCAAGAAAAAAATAAGAACACTAATGATGGTACAAAATGTTTAATAGACATGCAACAAGTATAGTACATCAAGGCAACAAAATACACATGGAAATACTGGCATATAATTCAGCATTCTTTTGAGGGTGGTGAACAATAAATACTACCACCTAAAATTAAAGATTAAGACATAGTGTTTTATCATGCAAAGAGTAATAAACTATCTCTAGTGTGAAATGAACTGTATAGAAGAAGCCCGATTTCACAACAGCAGATGAGTTTTATACCAAGAACTCCAAGAAAGGAGGAAAAGTCATGATCTCAGATGTCTTGTTTAAGCCTGTATTTAGCAGCATGTTAAGATGCACAAATTACTGTGTACATTAGACAAATCTGAAAATTTTTATCAATTATGGAATCTTGAATTTCCTTCTACATTATAAAAATGCATGGAAAAAATTTAATGATTTTTAAATTACTAAAGGATAATAAATGTCAGTTGAAAGTGGACCATGAATGATAAAGCATTTAAACATTCTGATAGTTTTATAGGAAAGCAGAGATGGTGCTCAAGTTCAGCCTAAATTTGTCAGTCTCCTTATAAATTTCTTCTACACTCTGTTTTCCCAAAGTTTCTGTTGTCCTAATTTTATACCTTCTCTCCATCTCTTTTTTTTTTTTTTTTTTTGAGTTGGAGTCTCACTCTGTCGCCCAGACTGGAGTGCAGTGGCCGCTCCCGGCCACCACAATCTCGCCTGCTGGGCTCCGGCGATCCTTCCACCTCAGCCTTCCAAGTAGCTGGAATTACAGGCATGCGCTACCACGCCCGGCTGATTTTTTGATTTATTGTAGAGATGAGGTCTCGCTGCCCAGGCGGGTCTCGAACCCGCGGGCTCAGGCAATCCACTCACCTCAGCCTCCCAAAGGCGCGGGATTACAGGCTGAGCCACCGAGCCCGGCTTCCATCTCTTATGCTGATTAAAAACTGCTTTGGATATTTCACTCACAAGGTATACAGACTTGATGATACAGGTACCATTTTTCAAGAATATTTGCATTTTTGCAAGTATTTAAAGTCTTAAGCTAAGGGATAAAGCTCTGAATATGTTCTGGCACATCTACGATAACTTATTTTAAGGGCTTCCAGGCCTACTTTGTCCCTGAAGTGACATTGTTTGGACTGTCCTACATATAAGAGCTGGTCTTAAAATTTATTATCTAAAAATTCCAAATTATGAGACTAAGCTCTAAATGTTGCAGAGAACCACCACACTCCTACATTTCTAATACAAAGAATAAGTGATAAATTCAACACTTGCCTCTTCTCAATAAAATAGTTTTTGGAGGAACATTCTCAAATTACATCTCCCTGAATGTAATGTTTTATTAATAAACAAAAATACCATATGAATTCCCCAATAAGTACTGTGGCCTTTTCATGTAAACAATGTATAAAACTTCTTTGGCACAACTAATCATGTTTTTTCCTCATATTACTTACCATAGAAAATACACTCCATATATTTTATTTTTCAATATGGTGGAATTTTTAGGGGTGAATGTAGCTGTTTCAAAAACTGCAATAAGATTTAAAATACAGATTATAGCTTTTATAAAAAGAAAGTATACCTGTAGAAGTATAGGGATTTTCAATATTAAAATCAGTTTTAAAATGAGATTATGGCATGATCAGTGATAGAGGCTGGAAACATACATGGCAATTCATTGTTGTACACAAGGGGAAAAAAACAGCACTAAGTCAAACATTCTTCTTGTTCACTATGATTAGCTTGCTGATCCTTGAATTGAACTTTTCACTAAAAATCCTTCATTGAACTTGAATGTTTCTATCTTTTGAGGCATACTTGATAATATATTAAATTGATAAGCTTTTAAGAAAATATTGGGAAAACAAAGATGAGAAGTTTATTCATTTTATCTAAACGGCTTAAGATACTATAAAATGCTTTCCTGATGGCCCTAACAAATTAAGTCAGTAAATACCTAAATAGGCACATTCCTACAAAATTTATAAAGTGTTAAGTGGAATGTTTATACCAAATGATAAATGTTGGAGAAAAATGAGTAAGCCACTGAGAAAATGCAGCTGAGAACCTTCCCCTGATACTAAAAACAAGACATTTAAAACAGAACTTAGGAAGAAATTAATGAAAATATTAAATTAGTAAGTTATCTTTTTTGAAGTTTAGTCACTAAATAAGAGTGAAAAAATACTTAGTTTATACCTTTGGAATAAAATCTTGAACTCAGTCTCTGGCCACTAAGATACATTTATATATATAAAATCAGCTGAATAATAAATATGTACAATTTGCAATGCATTATTAATTTGGAGGATCTTTGAAAGTTTTTAAAAGCCTATTCATTTTTAAACTTCCTCAATGACAAATAGAAGAATTTTTAAAATGAAAATGGCAGCATGTTTTTCACTCAGAAGTTTACAAGGAGTGGACTGAACTCTCTAAGCAACAGAATTCCAGACATAAACCAGAACAATATAAAATTTCAAAGGTCTTCCCAGCAGTCAAACTTATGTAAAATTGAACGTTTACAACATAAAACTTTTGGCTTTTACGTAAAACTTTTCAGGATGGTGTTAAGCCTGGACTTGTCATCTCTGCTGTAGGACTTGCAAGGTAGTCGTTAGATTTTAGGCTTGTTAGAGACTTGTAACTTGCCACTGATGTTAGAGACCCACAGAGACCAAGTAATGAGGGAGTATCTTCTTTACCTGAAAGTCAGGATAAAACCACAAATAATTAATTGCCCTTCAGGAATGATAGCAATAAGATTCTAAAACCATAAGCAACTTCTATGCTTTACAAGAGTCTAAAATGTAACTATAAAATCAAAAATCTACTTCAGTGTTTGATCTTTCAGCACCGTTACTATGACCCTTCAAAAACATTACACAAGATTATGTGTGCTTCTCATAAGAGTTCTAGATTTGGAAGTTTGACATACCATGTTTTAGAACATGAATGTTTATCTTTTTTTTTTAATGGAGAACATTTTCATGTTGTTAATAAAGGATAATACAAATCTAAACTAAATAACAGTACCCAGGTCACAGAAATACCAGGAAATCTATACTTTGGTAAAGTAATACATTAGAAGGTTTATCTTGGTCAGATTGGACTGCCCCAACTCAACAGGAAGGCTTGATTTGGGGGACTTTATTCACATATCCAACATTTATTCAGTATCTACTGTGCCTCAGGAACTTTAAGTGCTAAATTTCAGTAGACCCATGAAGGGAATGGGTAGATGATCTATTTCCACAGCTGAGGTAAAATGAGTTATTTCCAGAAGTGAGTAAGTTTCAACCCACAACATGCAAATACCAGCTGTAAGTGACTGGCTTGTGGCTGTGAAAGGCCAAGGTCTTTGAAAATTAGCCAGATTTCCAAAGAAGATGAAGAACTTAGGATTTACTCACACAGTTATAGAAGTGTAAGCTGAGCCAGATATAAGATGTTTCTGAATATTGCATGTTGTTTCAAACAGCCCCTCTGAAATGTTTCCATAGTTCTTTAATTAACCCACTTTGTCATACAGTATACTGATTCTGGGGGCACACTCACCTTTATTAAACTATACACTCTTAGAAAAGACATGGACTCTGTTGTGTCATATATACCCAGTGCCTAGTACACAGTAGATGCTATCAAATAACTAATTAATGAGCGATTTAGTGGAACTGCACTGGGACTCAAGGTAGCTTCTATGTCCCCTCTAGCTATGTGACCTTGGGCAAGGCAACGTCTGTCTGTTCTTCCCTTTAAATGGGACTAGCTACCAGAAGATGACGGGTTTGTTAGCTAACTTCACATTTATGTTGAACAGGAAAATATAACAGTGTTAAGAAAATATGTGGAAAAGCAGTTGTTCCATTCAGATTATAAATGTCTATCATACTATGTTAGGATTAAGGGGTATATATATATTTTTTGGACTGCGGTCTCACTCTGTCACCCATGCTGGAGTGCTGGAGGACAGTGGCATGGTCACAGCTCATCACAGCCTCATGAGTAGCTGTGATTACAGGTGCTCCTCCATACCTGGCTAATTTTTTGTAGAGACCAGGTCTTCCCGAATTGCCCAGGCTGGTCCGTCTCAAACTCCTGGCCTCAAGCAGTCCTCCTGCCTTGGCATCCTAAAGTGATGGGATTATGGGTGGGAGCTACTATGCCTGGCCCTAAGTATCCTTTTAATGTTTAAACTTAAAGACTCATTTCTGACCAAAATCAGCTCTCTGGAGTTTTTTGCTAAATGTTTCAGAAACTCAACTACTTTGGATAGTCTTTTCAAATTTCCACTTCATTACTGACCCTGAACCTTTTAAAAGGACTTACTGCTAATTATATATACATGTATGTGCTTATAAATATTTTCTTTTTTTTGAGTTGGAGTCTCACTCTGTCGCCCAGGCTGGAGTGCAGTGGCATACCCACGGCCACCATAGCCTTGACCTACTGGGCTCAGGTGATCCTTCCACCTCAGCCTTCCAAGTAGCTGGAACTACAGGAGTGCGCTACTATGCCTGGATAATATTTTGATTTATTGTAGAGATAAGGTCTTGCCAAGTTGCCCAGGCTGGTCTTGAACCCCTGGGCTCAGACAGTCCTCTCGCCTCAGCCTCCTAAAGCACTGGGATTATAGGCTTGAGCCACCACGCCTGGTTTAATATTTTCTTTACCATGGTAAATATATATAAAACACAATATAAAATTTAGTGGCATAAATTACATTTGCACTATTATGCAACTGTCACCACTATTTCCCAAATTTTTCATCACCCCAATTTTTTTCATCAAGATATTGTTTTTCTCTTAGAGGACCCTAAAATCTCTAAATAGGCCTAAAGCTTTATAACAGTCATACAATTAATGATTTGGGTATATGTGTGACTTTTGAGAAATGAGATACATTTTGCAATTAAGATCTGTTTGTACCTTTCTCAGAAGATAATTTACACATAATGCAACATACACAGCATATGTCTGCTAAATTATAATTAGAAATCTGCCCAAATCTGAGTTGATTTTCAGTGTAATTTTCCTGATAACAAAGGGAAACCCGCCCCTTGAATCTGCTTCAAAACTCGAGATTTTTTTTTTTTAACTGAAATTCAATGTGACAAATTCCTGCCTGAAAAGAGATGGCAGGAGGAGTCAGACATTATTCCCCTTTAAAGCAGATACCCACTCATGAAAAAAATTCTTCTGGAATTGACCCTCCAAGAAAGTGGAGAAGCCCAAATTTGCTGGGATGTTGGCACATACAGAAATCTCAAGTGGAGTGTTAAAACCAGGGTAGGTAATAATGAATGTCCTTTAATATTTTTTAATACTAGCCAGGCTCAGTGACTCAGCCTATAATCCTGCACCTTGGGAGGCTGAGGTGAGTGCATTGCCTGAGCCCGTGGGTTTGAGACCCGCCTGGGCAACTTGGTGAGACCTCATCTCTACAATAAATCAAAAAATTAGCTGGGTGTGGTAGTGCGTGCCTGTAGTTCCAGCTACTTGGAAGGCTGAGGTGGAAGGATCGCTGGAGCCCAGCAGGTCGAGGTTGTGGTGGCTGAGAGTGGCCACTGCATTCCAGTCTGGGCAACAGAGTGAGACTCCAACGCAAAAAAAAAAAAAATTTTTTTAATACTGTTTAGATTCGAAAACAAAGAAGTTAAGGCTTTTCGTGTCTTAAAATTTCAAACTCATTTTAGAAGTACCCAAAATTGCCCAGCGAAAGAGGTTACTTCTGATTTTGGCAAATGCCAACAACAAATATTTAACAATACTCTGATAATGGTAACTAATACTTATTGACAACCAACTACAATCCAGGCCCTGTGTTAAGAGCTTCACATAAATTACCTTATTTAATCCTTAACAACCTCATGAAGTAAGATCTGTAAGTATCCTCATTTTGTAGATGGGGGTAGATATGTGCCCAAGAGGGCTATAAACATAATTGAGAATTGAAGTCATGTCCTCTTAATTCAGAGATTGCATTCTTGGTCACACTCTTAGATAGAAGGGAGCCCCTGAAGCCTTTTTACATAAGAGAATTGCTCTCTGATGCATTATTTTGAAGGAAATGAATAAATGAACACAGGGAAACACGTATGAAGTGTTGGCAGTTTCCTGAACCACATTGATATCACTTTTAAATACTTGTATGATTGGTACTACAAGTGCCGAGTTTATATGCTGCATAAAAACACTAATTTGGCTTTAAAATGAAAAGTTGCTTGTTCACAGAACAAGCATGAAAACAGCTGGATGTAAATTGTATGTTCTGAAGCAAAAATCTATCAATAGAGGAATTACTGCAATTCATATTTTCTAACACCAAGTGCTCATAAAAAAAAAAATCTCTATGAAGAAAAATACCCTGCAAGTAGATGAAGCTTTGTGATACATGCAAAATAACTGCCTATCACATGCCAAGCACATAACTGAAGTAAGAGAATTCCCTGAATAGATGAAAGAAATTTTGAAGCAACAAGCAACTGTTGAGATTGCTTCATGCATCATGCAGGATTTCTGTAAAGATGGCAAACATCAATTTGTCATAGAATTCCTGTGGCCTTTGAAGAGAAGCTGTTTAACTTCCAGAAGCATTTGACTTAACTGAGGAAGAAATGAAACCACATGTTACGCAGATGGAAAATGGCTGCATAAATATGTGTAGCTTGAAAGAAAATTCCTCAACAGTGGAGTCCTGTTTGGGGAAATGGCCCCCTGCTGGTGCAAAGGATGATATTGTGAAGGCAGACATGTCTACTGACAATTTTGATTCAAAAAATGATTAAGAGGAGATGGGCTCTGAGTATGAAATTTTAGGATTACCATAAGCAACAGAATTCACCTTTATTTTCCTTTTTATAGATACCAAGGAGTGAAATGTAACTTAAAAAAATCTGTGCTGGCCGGGTTTGGTGGCTCAGCCTGTAATCCCAGCACTTTGGGAGGCCAAGGCGAGTGGATTGCCTGAGCCTGAAGATTTGAGACCAGTCTGGGCAATTTGGCGAGACTTCATCTCTATAATAAATAAAAAATTAGTCAGGTGTGATAGCGTGTGCCTGTAGTTCCAGTTGTTTGGAAGGCTGAGGCAGAAGGATTGCTAGAGCCCAGCAGGTCGATGCTGGGGTGACTGTGAGTGTGTCACTGCACTCCAGCCTGGGATACAGAGTGAGACTCCAACTCAAAAAAAAAAAAAAATCTGGCCTAAATTCCAAAAGAAGCAATGAACAATCCGAAAATGAAATTAAGAAAAACAATTGCATTTACAATAGCATATAAAATAACATATTTAAGAATAAATTTAACCACAAAGGTGCAGGAGCTTATACACTGAAAACTAAAATATCGCTTAAAGTAATTAAAGATGATCTAAATAAATTGAAAAACATCCCATCTTTTCACAGATTAGAAGACAATATTGTTAAGATGGCAATACTCCCCAAATGCAATAGCCTGAAAATTCTTACTACTTTTTTCAGAAATGATAAGTTGGTTTTAAAATTCATATGGAAATGCAAAGAACCCCAAATAAAAGAAAGTTGTAGGACTCAAACATCCTGATGCCAAAATTATTACAAAATTAATTAGGACAGTATGGTATTGGCACAGACATATAGACCAATATAATCCAGAAATAAGTCCATAGTGTGCTCGTAAATGATGCAAAACAACTGGATATCCACATCCAAGAGGATGAAGTTGGACC